GTCTCAAAGACATGCTCGTATCGCCCATCTCCATATCTCGAGACATCTGTGCTAGTACCGCCCTGTCCTCCGTTAGTAGAGCACAGGTTCAGGCCGACGATAAGTACATACCATATCAAACCCAATCACGGGGGTCTTGGTCTCGTCGTCGTAAGAGGTGATGGCGTATCCAACAACACCTCCAGCTGGACCAGAGAGAATGGCCTTCAAACCAGTGAACTTGTCCACATCCACCAACCCACCGTCACTTTGCATAAACTCGCATCTTGCCCCCTTGGCGTCTTTCTCCTCCTTGACGCTGCGAGTTCCAAGGCCGCCTTCAAACCCGGCCTGGAAGCCATCGATGTACTTGCGAATGGCTGGCGTGAGATAGGCATCGGCACAGACAGATGTGGCTCGAGAAACAAGCTTAATCATGGGCATGAGCTCATGACTTAGCGAGATGTGTTGAAAGCCAATCTCCTTGGCTATGCGGCCAATCAACGCCTCGTGGTCTGGGTACGTGTAGCCGTGCATCAGACAAACGGCAATGTTCCGGATGCCTTGATCGTATACCTCCTTGAGCTTCGATCGGACGTCTTGTTCCTCGGCCTTCTTGAGGATCCTCACGGTCTCGCCTGACAAACCACGGACAAGAGTCTTGCCCTCAGCCTCCTTGGTTCCAACCTGGGCCTCTGCCTTGGTCGTCGTTCTCTCGGGATCTTCTGCGTAGTCCTCAAGTGTAACTCGCTCCTCGATCTCGACAACCTTTTCATACAAAACATCCGGTTTCCGAATAGCCAAGTCAAAGATCTTGGGTCTTGACTGGTTGCCGATGGTCAAGCAATCCTTGAATCCCTTGGTCACCACCATGGCAATCTTCTCGCCCTTTCGTTCGAGCAAGGCATTGGTGGCAACGGTGGTTCCCATGCGGATGGAGTCGATCTGAGAAGTGTCTAGGGCCTCGCCTCGAGGAATGTCTCGACCCAGGAAATGGCTCATGATGCGTCGGATGCCTTCAAGCGGGGCATCCTTGTAGTTGGCCGGGTCCTCAGAGAGGAGCTTGATGATGATTTCCTCTCCATTGCTCTCACCGACACAGTCTGTAAAAGTACCGCCACGGTCAATGGCAATTCTAATACCGCGGGGTTTGGGTGCTGATGCCATGGTGGAGGTACAGGTCGATCCAATGAGGGGGAGAAGAGACGCCACTTGATAGGAGGAATGCTAAAGATGAAGGACCGACAACCTGACCTGACTATCTTATCAAGGTCGAAGGAAGCAAGACGGAAAGAGCTGCAGGAGAATAAACGGGTGATTAGTTACGCGAGACCGATGTATTTGTAAGTCAAAGAGCGTCGGGAAAGATGAATGGCTGTCGACGTCATGTATGGACCCCACGTTCCGTTATTGGCAATTGGTACCGGGAGCTTGTCGTTTGGGATGTCAAATAACTGATAACTACGGATATAGGTACTAGCCGTTTGTTCAACGACAAGCAACCCTTCGAATTAGATTATCAATGTATATCAGCAAGCAGAAGCATCAAATGAGGCCGGGGCCAGTGAAAGCTACCAGAGAACAAACTCTACGGGTGTCGGGCCGCCACGTTATTTTCACCAACCGGACGGAAGCCGAAGCCCGGTGAAGAGCCGTAATGATTCAACGACAACTTTGGACACTGAGGTTGCATTTCTCACGATGAGCATTGCCAATGGCATACTACAAGCACCCAGATAATGAGAGCAAGCAATAGAGGAAACCGCAAAGAACAGATTATAAGTAGTGAAGCGTGTACCAAGAAAACCTGAACAATTGGCACTTGCGTGTGAAAGCAGGCATATAAACAGCAACGGACATCAAACTGCAAATACGACGGATCCAAGCATCCATGAGCATCTAGTACCAGACAAATCGCAAGGGTAGAGTCCACGGGATGTCAAAGCAGCAAAAATGAAACCATCACGACCCAAGAGCCGTGGACAAGAACAAAAAGAAATGGCTTGCCGTCAGCAAGACTCGAACTTGCGTTTTCAGTGCTTCACATGAGCCACAAACTGATGTACTAACCCCTATACGATGACGGCTTTTGTTCCTTGTTGCAGAATGGTGATGTAAAAGAGTCTTTTAAAGACAGCCTCTTTCTCTAGAGGCAGAGGGTAAAAAAGATGAAAAATGCAAAAAAGAAAGGATTGCCGTCAGCAAGACTCGAACTTGCGTTTTCAGTGCTTCAAATGAGCCACAAACTGATGTACTGACCCCTATACGATGACGGCTTGTTTTTCCTTGCTTGATAATCCCTGTCGCTTAGTTTTGTTTATAGCCCGGGGTTGACAAGGGCCCGATGTCCAAGTTGGTAGATAGTGGACCACTTCCACAGATCTTGTTGCAAGAATTCGATCGATTGATCAAGTATAGAAGAAGACATAGGTATGCAAGAGGCACTAGGCGTCGACAAATTGGGATCCCCAGAGCTTAAGAGTCAATGGAAGTTGCACTAGAACCCGGCTCTTCGGATGTGGCGGGATTGACTCAAATTAGCGGCAACCAAGGGAAACATCCAAGACACAAGGGAAGCTCCAGAAGGGCATGCTAGAACAAAGTTCGACTTTTTGGGGCTGGTACAGTACAATACTTGTGTTACACAGTTTTCCTCACGTTCAGGTATGCGGCATGATTCCAGCTTTCGAGGTCCGGCCCCGGCGTCTCCGGGGGGCGCACGGAGCAAGGAATGCCGGGCAGATGGGAACACGGAGGACGCCGGCTTTCGAGCACCGGGGGCTCTCTCAAACATATCACGGAATGAGGGAAATACGATTGATAACATCATGCCGTTGGGCAGCAGATCCTTACATTTCTCATGCAGCGGGGAGTAGGGAAACTCGTCCCAGGAGTCGGCTTTTGCATCAGTTGATGATCTATCAACAGTCGACATGACAAGTCTTTTTTAAACGACCCTGCTTGGCAAACAGCCCACCCATCTCACCAGTTTGAAGACGACTTTTTTTTTCAACCCAACGACATGTATACCCCCAGGGTTGTACATGTAGTTGCAGATGGTGCTAGCAAGTATTCACCGGTTGGATCTTGCACTAATAAATGGCAATCTTGTGGCTTGGATCCCGTGGACTTTTCTCAAATGACGAGAAGTTTTGACGTGTGGATTCACGGCTCTCGCGTCATTCCTTTAACAACAGGGAAGAAGCCACCCGTTGTGGGGGTTTGAAGACAAGGCGTCGTCGGGGACATTAACGAGGCTGACAAGATTGGCTCGTACTCTTATTCCAAAGAGGTCGTCGTCAATGAACTTAATGCCTGCTCCCGTGTACCCAGCTTGGCGCGCGCACTTGCTCCCACCGCCCGTATGTAGCACACCGTAAGCGCCTAAACTCGCTGCCGCCGGAGGGACAACGACGGTGACGGGATGCTCGCGGCATCGAGACGCATCCAGGCCTGACTCGCCCCCGGCTCCGAGAGAGACAGTGAGAGTCTCCGCCGGAATCGATTGGCTGGCCGCATGATGCAGTGGCTTCCCGGCGCACCAGGCGACGAACCTGCTTGTTGGGGGGCGCCGATCCCCATGCATTCAAGCATATTCCCTTTCAAGGCAGGTTTGGGGGGCGTGTGAGAGAGGAGAGGACCTTGACGAAGGCCCTTTTTCTGCAGGGTAGCGGTCCTCTGACAAGGTTGACTGCAAAATGGATCCCTCTACCCCGGTTATCGCCCATCAGAATGTCCCACGGCATGGATGGAATCCCTGGGAACGTGCCGGGGGCCCACGGTAGTCAACAGGCGGAAGCTGGAGTACGTAGACCACCTAACACGGACCCAGGCCAACAGCACCTGTTGGTAGCCAGCCTAGGGTCCATCCAAGGTCCTGTTCATGGACGGACGGCGTAGGTACTGTAGAGAGCCGGCCCTCTGGAGCGCCAGCCGAGGCAGCGGACTTTTGAGGCACAAGACGCTGGATGAAGCCATTGGCATCGGTCGTGCAGTCTTCAGAGGTGCTGCCACCGTGGTCAGCAAGGATCCGGCGAGAGTCAAGAGATTGCAAAGCATCCCGTCTCCGTCTGCCGTCATTGTCGGCCTCAATTGTGCTTCGGTTTATCCGCCCACCTGATCGACGTCACGCTGGCGCTACGCTACCTACGGTACTCTTCTCCCTCTTGTCTCTGTCTGTGCTGTAACTGTACTGTACGGGGGCCCCGCCCCATGGAGTCCTTTGCAGCATCGCCTCCACCGCTTTCGGAGCCTCGCGGTGACCTCAACTCGCCTCTCTCGCCTTCTCTCTGGAGTCCCGGGTCCGGCTTGGTCATTCCAGTCTCCCCAGAGGACAGCGCCTCCGCGGGTAAAAGTGGCCCGTCCGGGTTCGCCAGAACTGTCCTTGGTCAGCGCAACAACAACACCCTCGTTATTGCCCGTGCCCGTGTACATACACAGCACAGGACGCAAGTTGGAGGGGAGTATGTACCCAGCTAAGAGCCGGGGGGCGTGTTTCCACGGGTTTCTGCCGTGTCTAGGTTTTTTGGTTTGGCGGCGGCCGAGACTTGAGGCCCAGCACCATGGGAATACTGTACGCCAACCATGTACATGTCGATGCAGCCAGGCGGTTGCTGAAGCTAATAAGGCATGGAGGAAAACGGCGGCAGCAACCAAACAAGCAGCAGCAGCAGAATCTGGGTTGCATTCTGGACCACCAGGTACCTGCAAGGCTTGCCTTGCCTGGGTTGGTCCCCTGCTCTGGCTGGCAGCCTGTCTTATTTCGTTCCTCATCTTTCCGTACCTAGGTAGGTAAGTATCGTGTGTGTTACTTCGTACTGTATGCCGCTGCCGCTGCCTCGCCTGGGGTCTGTCACCTTCAGCACTCCTCCCCTGTCGACGGCATGTGGATGTGGTGAGAGCGAAGCTAGAGGCGAACAAGACAGACCGCTGGCTCCACCCGAGCATGATTCATTCATCAGCCGCCTCGCCTCCTTATAAAGCCCGGCCTGGGTCCCCTTCTGTTCGTTCGTTGCTGTTGTCTTTGTGAACGTCTTGTTTGATCACTCACTCTCGTTGCGTGTGTGTGTGAATCTCGTCCTTCCCCCGGGTTCGCTCTTCTACCGAGTTCCAAAGACGCATTCACCTGCTCCGGGCTCCGACTATTAAATCGTCTCGTCGACTGCTTCTTACCGCTCTCTCGACTCCTTCTCTCCTCCATCTGCACTCACCGTCTCTGCATCTCTACGCTTCTTCATCTTCCACCACCTACTCCCCAAATCAACAACCGCAAACATGCCTCCCAAGCGAATTCGATGCACCGCCGCTCAATGCCGGGAGCCCGCCCAGCGCATCGTCGGCGACTGCTCCTTCTGCCAAGGGCACTTCTGCGGCAAGCATCGTCTACTAGAAGACCACAAGTGCACTGGTCTCGAGGACGTAAGTTTGAAACTGCATGGTCTCCAAGTCCAGCCGCTAACTAAACCTCCAGTGCAAGAAGCAGTCTCACGAACGCAACGCTGCGCAACTCGAGTCGGAGCGAACCCAGGTCATCCGGGGCGTATAAGCACGACCAACGAGAAACACCGAGCGCCGGCCCGGGAGACGGGCGTCACTCCCACGGCCCACACCGAAAGGCGTTATCCTTGACCGGCCACGACGTAATGATGGGGTTTGGCTTTCATTGATTTTTATTGTTTTGGTGGCATCTACATCCACAGGACCTTGCAAGGCGTTGCCCGCCGTTGTGTACATTTCTATTCTCGGGTAGTTGAGGATGCTGCGTTGGCGTACAGGATGCATGGCTTTAGGGACATAGCAGGTTTCCCATTTCAGCGGGGGAGCCTTTTGAATTGATTCACCCTCGCACAATCAAACAATGGAACCGTCCAGTATGAATTCACATTCAGCCGTGCGAATCAAGATCGGAAACAGCAGCCAACTGACGGAATCAACCGATAATTGCAGAGGCGGTGGGTGACTTTGACCTTGACTCAGAATGGACTGACGATCCGTCGCCTTGGCTTGATTACGTGGTGCTGCTGTTCTGGGTCTGGGTCTGGTCTGGCTTCCCATTCAAGGACCCTGTTGCCAACGCCAGCTGAACGAGGGCAAGACGCCGTCTTATCTCCGATATCGTATCGGGCGCGTAAATGATCTCGTGAGCAGCGGCTCTGGCCCGCGCATACAATAGCGCCATCTTGGCCAAACCCACTGTCTGGACCGCGGAATTCTTTGTTTCGCAGTGAGAACTGATCAATTTGCAGTGTATCTATTGATGGGTATTCATGCGTTTTCAATGCCCGTCTATTCAAAACGCCCGCCCCCAGCGCCACCGTTCGTCGGCCTCAAAGACGTGGTCGAATCGTTTCCCTTCCTACCATGGCCTTGTCATTTGCTGGGATGTATTATGGGGTGGCTGGTTCCGGAGGCGGGGCCGCGGCTTCCCCCGCCGGATCAACTGTTGTCATCCCATCGATACCCTCCTCTTTCTTGACCACGACGTCTTGTGTAACCTCGACCTTGACTGCTGCGCCGTCTAGAGCCTCGACCTCCATCTTCTCCGCCTTGATCTTCCGCCCCTCCAACACCTTCTTCCGATCCGCCGCCTTGCAGAGACCCTCCATTCCCAGGTCGCATTCGCCGCACTTGCGCCCAACAGGGAGACATACTGACTGGCCGAGACCGACCAGCAGGTGGTTTATCTCGTGCCAGCGGTCTTTCGGTAGCCATGACTGAAGTGCTGCGCGCGTCTCCTCTGGGTTTTTGGTCTTGTTCCAGCCCCAGAGGTTCGTGATGCGGTGCACATGCACGTCGACGCCGATACCCTCTGTGCGACCCCACGCGACCGACATGCACAAGTAGGCCATCTTGGGACCGACCCCTGGTAGAGATGTCAGTCCCTCGATAGTGTCGGGAATGTCACCGTTCCACTTGTCGCGAATAATCTCGGCCGCTTGCTTGATGTACCTGGACTAGGTTAGCCAAACCATCCTCGCGAGTGGTGACCGTCTCACGGGCAGGCAGACTTTGTCTTGTTGTTGTGAAATCCCACCTGCCAGATAAACTCGTTCAGCAGCTTCGGTTCAACGGCCAGTATGTTTTCTAGGTTCAGTCCGACCGGCGCCCCTTGTTTGTACGACGGTAGCTCAGTCTGCAACCTCTTCATGACCACGGCGTTCACCGTGTCCTTGGTCTGACTCGATAACATAAGCGCCACCAGTGTGTGGAATCTCTGGTCTTTGGGCGATGCGCTTCGATCCGCCAGCCGCTCACAACCCATTGTGTCCACAGCTGCGCCATGTGCTCGTCCGCCAGGGGCTCGCATTTTCCTCACCACGTCGTACATGGCTTCCCAGTCGGAGGGTGGCTCTATGATTGTCTCGCCGGTCGATGGGTTGGTCGTTTTGCGAGCGGGCTTGCGAGCGCGGCGCGGTGCCTTGGCTGGCGGCGATGGGATGTCATCGAGGGTTTGGTCGGCGGCTTCGGCCTTGACGGAACTTGTAGATATCGATGATTCGATTTTCGTGGCAACGGCACGCCTTCGTTTTCGAGAGGGAGGGGCTGCGATATCCTCAATATCGCGAATCGTAGGCTTGGATTCTTTCGTTGAGGAGGCAAATGCGAATTGGGCAAGTGATGATCTCGTCACTCGTCTCGGTGGTGAGATTGGTTCTGATACGCGATCGAACAGCTTCGTGGCATCTCTCGATACCCTGGAAGTCCGCATTTTGGAGCTGTGGCCTGTAAACTGGCTGTCGATATTCGGATCAAGCTCAATCGTAGACGCGTTTCTTGAGTCAAAGTCTCCTGTGGCAAACCATTGCCAAAAGGTCCCCACTCTGACGAATCGGCGGCCACAGTGGAGATACCCCGGATTTCAATGCACGTTCCGCCAGGGACCAATTTCTAAGCAGTCAATCCGTTGACTCTATTGGAGGTTTCGGTTGCTGGGCAGCAACAGAACTTTTGTGAAAACAGGATGGTGATGGGTAAAACTGATCACATTTACGGTTTCATCATGATTGATAACGCTCATCATTGAGGCCCCAGTGGTAGAATTAATTGATTAGGTAGGTCTCAAGGTAGTCTTGTAACATGACAGCCGGTCAATTTTCGTGAGCTGCACAGCGATACAGGGTGGTGTCATGAGAAGTCAATGAGCTGCCAGCAATCACCTCCACCTTATCAGTTCTCGTAGATCAAAAATCAATGCCAAAAAAGACTCGTTATGGATGCACGTGTAAAACAGGTACGCATTGTCCACTGCCTGGTACGAATCAGACAGGGTGAGTGAAATGGCCATCAAGGTAGCTATGTGCCGGATCGATCCATATAAGAGGGCCGCTCCACGCCGTCTTCACTTCATTTTGGTCAAATAGACTCGTCGTTACTCAATTATCATTCATTTATACTACATTTTGGGGGTCATTAAATCTTGGGGTCAAGCTTTTGCATGTCGACGACGGCACGGATGCAGTCTCCCTGCTTCATGGTCTCGAAGGCGTTGTTAATCTCACCAAGCACCTTGCGGTGAGTGATGAACTCGTCGACCTTGAGAGAGCCGTTTTTGTAGTCGGCGACGAGGCTGTTCATCTGAGAGCGGCCCTTGACACCACCGAAAGCGCATCCCCTCCACACACGACCAGTGACAAGCTGGAATGCTATGAAATGTGTTAGTCTCTTCACATCTTGACGAGTTGGATGTTAACTTACGTCGGGTGGAAATCTCCTGGCCAGCGGCAGCGACACCAATGATGATGCTCTCACCCCAACCCTTGTGGCAAGCCTCGAGGGCAGCGCGCATGACACCGACGTTGCCAGTGCAGTCGAAGGTGTAGTCACAGCCACCGTCAGTCATCTCGATGAGCTTGTCCTGGATGGTCTGGCCGTCAAGGTCGAGAGGGTTAACGAAGTGAGTGGCACCGAACTTGTCACCCCAAGCCTTCTTGGAGGGGTTGACATCAACCACGATGATCTTGCCAGCCTTGCGGGCGGCGGCACCCTGGACTACGGACAGACCGACACAGCCGGCACCGAAGATGGCAACGTTGTCGCCCTCCTGGACGTTGGCGGTGATGGTAGCAGCACCGTAACCGGTGGTGATACCGCAGCCGAGCAGGCAGGTTCGGTCCATGGGAGCATCGTGCTCAATGGCGACGACCGAGATGTCGGCGACGACAGTGTACTGGGAGAAGGTGGAAGTGCCCATGAAGTGGAGCAGATCCTGGCCCTTGCATCGGAATCGAGAGGTGCCATCGGGCATCAGACCCTTGCCCTGGGTGGCTCGGATCTTGCCGCAGAGGTTGGTCTTGCCGGACTTGCAGAACTTGCACTCCTTGCATTCGGGGGTGCTGTTGGTGAGGTAAGGTTAGATGATGCTACGACAGATGGGGTTGTGTGTGTGAGAGCTTACTAGAGAGCGACGACGTGGTCGCCGACCTTGACGTTGGTGACGCCCTCGCCAATGGACTCGACGATACCAGCACCCTCGTGTCCGAGGACGATGGGGAAAGCACCCTCGGGGTCCTTACCGGACAGAGTGTAGGCATCTGAAAAGTATCAGCTTGCTGCTCATACTGCTCACGAGGCCAAGCGGATGCTCGGAGCTTGATGACGACGCATGCAAAAGACTAACCTGTGTGGCAAACACCAGTGTAGTAGATCTGGATACGGACCTCGTTGGCCCTGGGGGGAAGGACCTCAATGTCCTCAATGGAGAGAGGCTTGCCGGCCTCCCAGGCGACGGCGGCCTTGCAAGTGATGGTCTACACCATGAGGTCAGCTAGAGCTCTTCCATCGCGAAGGTTCCATCCCCATCAACTCAGGGCGGGGTATTGGGCATAGATGAGGGGTAGCATAGGGTGGGAGCAAAACATACCTTGCCAGCGGTAGAAGCCATTGTGTCTTGATGAGATGGAAGATTGAACTGTCAATGAAGGAGAGAAGAAAAATCGACAGACAATTGGGGAGAAGGGATGGGTTTCAATGATTGTTCTCAGTTACGACCAAGTGCGCAAAGTGTTTATGTAGACGGTTGGAAACCCGCAACGCCAGATTCCGATCCCCGAGCAACTCCGTTAAGCTGCTACCTACCCCGCAATGGAGGTGAAAATCCACACGCAGAATTCGGCTGCGATAGGAAAACTAACGCGGTGCCGACCAGAGCGGTCTCACCCATTGGACCATGATGGCTGTCGGAACTGGATTTGCGTGAGAACAGAGTGCGGGGAGGTTGGCTGGGCGTGCCGAGGTGCTGCGCCATTGGTGCGAACTGCAAGATGGCACCGGGGCATGAGGTAAACGCTTCCCGAAGATGGGCAACTGATGAGACACGCAAGTGGGCGCAGTCCTGCGGCTTCGGCAGATGAGACCGACGAGACCGACGGTCTTGATCAGCAAGACCCGGCGTGACTCAGGCAGAGGCGCTCTCACTGCTGCAGCGTCGTAGACTTTGCCCATTCACGGGGTCGGAAGGGGTTCCGTGGCCCGTCCTCTCATGCCGTGCCCACTTGCACCATCGTTTTTCACGGAGGCATTCGGCATGTTCATGATCACCTCAATTATAGCTTGGCTTGGCTGGTCCAAAAGACCGAAGCAAAGCGGAGGCGATTCCAGACCTTAAAGATAAGAGGTTCCATCAGGAGAAATGAGGCTTCGTAAGAAGAAACGAGAAGCTCTCCGAAGAAAACTCTGCGCGCCTACGCTAACCATTGGTGATGGATGCTCTGCTCTCCCCTCACATTCCAGTTTAGTTGTCACCGAAATCCCTTCTTTCAGGTGAATAATGGCCTTTGGATGGTCGTGCTCGTCAAGCAGACTGCTTTATCATAAAGGCTCTCCCTCTGAGAAACAACAACGATCCATAGAGTTGAGACTTCCCCGTTCCTGAAAGGTGTTCCAACGATACAGCAAGAGGTGAGGTCGCAAATAAGCTCAGCCAGTGTCCACTTCAACTGCTTCCTTTGTCTTCAGACGAAAAATATGTAAATGCATCAACAATTTTGTCGCTCGCGTTGATCAAGCGGGGTGGACAATAATGAGTGGAACAACGGGGGCAAGGTGTTTCCTTTGCCGGATAAACACCGGACCATGCGTTGCCTACCGCGATAGCTCCCAAAAAATATCCCAGGCGCGTCTCAGCTCGCAGCCAACGACAACTTTGTCAATCCAACGCCTCATCAAACATCGCCATTCGTCGCGTCGCAAGAGGACGATCGTTAATGCGAAAACAGCGCTCTTACCGACTGGACGTATGACGGACCTTTCCGCCATCGCTGCGCCAAACTACCCCATCATTTGAGGCTCAGGGAGCTCTCGCAGCCTAGCTTCCTCGCATCATGGCCTTCAGATTCGTTGTTCCCGATTCGAGCCCTCCCGCCAGCCCGGCGCCCTCGACGCCGGAAAAGGGCCAGAATTATGGCACAGGATTCTCTTTTCTTGGCGACAACCCCTCGACGACTCCAGCTGGACCGCCACCCTCCTCGGTCGCTTCCTTCACGCCCGCTGGCGCGCCGACGGCCTCATTCTTGGGGAGCTCCATGATGCACGGTATGACCGACACCAAGCCTCTCAACTTTGGAGTCTCAAACTCAAACACTGGGTCTGGGAGGAGTCTTTTTGGCGGTGGTCGAACGAGTACCTCGAGTAACCCGCTCGGCCGTTCGATTAGAGGAAGACAGCCTTCAGCCCTGAGCCGCCAACTCAGCACCGCAGACGAGGAGGAAGAGGAGGAACAAGATGCTGAAGGAGAAATGGAGCTTCCGCCTCACCGAGGAAGCCTTTTCCGCATGTCTACCATTCCCGATGAAGGACAGGAAGAGGACGACGAAGTCGACGCCGAGATCGAACGATTTATCGACCAAGACATTGACGAGGATGCCCTCGGAGAACCCCAATACGACGACCCCTTTTTCGCGGAACGAGAGGGCTCTTCTGACCCTGACATGTTTCTGAATATGCGCCACGATGATCGACCTTATGGGCAGCCGATCATTGGCGACGAATCAGACCTGATGATGCTCAACACACCGGCCGCGACGAACCGAATTCGCAGGGAGGCAGAGAGCATCTTTAAACAGTCTTCAGCCCACCTAGGTATGACGGCCAGAAAACAGGGCTTCCAATTCGCTTCGATTGCCAAAAACCTCTATAACCAGCATGAACCTGCGCGAGTCGTCGAGCCTGCGGACCTGCTCATCAACACGGAACAGCTTGTCTGCCGGCTCTACGAGGAGGGAGTCGGCCCTGAGGAAGATGTTGAAAAGATGGACAACTCTCTCGCCAATATTACATACCGTCTGGTCGAGCTCTGGAACCAATACGTTGACGGGCTACCTCAACCAGAAGGAGAAGACTTTGCGACAATTGGCCCTGGACCTAATGCTGTTCCCTTTGAAAAGGCATCATATATCGCACATCTAATCCTTCGAATGCACCACACCCGTTTTGACAGCAACACCGACGAGGAGAAGACGCCACCCTTGCCCGAGATCCTCTTCGACTGGATGCAGACCAGCCACAACATCTACCCTGACCAAGTGCGCGAGATCAGCCGTTACAGCCCCAGCCCTGCCTGTCATAGCCTGTTCTGGCAGACAGTACGATGCGCCCTGCTCCGCGGAGATGTCACTGGTGCGTCCAAGCTGCTGAGAGAGGCTGGTTGGGAGAATGTTCGACGTGGACCCCGTGGTGAGTTCGCGTACACAGGCAAGGCCCTTGAGAACGTCAGACGGTTTGCTGCCGCTACTTGCGAGATCCTCGATCAATGCCCTGCTACGAGATCGGAATGGGATATCTGGAATAGCAACTGGACTTTGTTCCGAATTCAGGCACGCGGGTCTCTGAACAGAATGACCCTCTTTGCTGAAGGCAAGGATCAATCTGGCCAAGACCTGCTGGATGATGAGTTCTCACCCCAACCACAATCGCTGTCTACAATGGCCCGGAAGGCTTCGAGCCAGATCCCCTGGGACATTTACGAAAACCTACAAACTGTGTATGGCATCGTGCTTGGAAACCACGAGGCGATCATGGAGGTTGCCCAGGATTGGTGTGAAGCAACTGTTGGTCTATTTGGATGGTGGGACGACGGCAATCAACGCCACAAGACGCTCAAGCTCTCTCAATCACAGGCTCTGCGAGCGTCGTCTCGATTCGCTGGCTCAGAAGACTATTTCGAGCGACTGACGACCACCTTCCACATGGTTATCGACTCGGATCTTAACCCTAATGTAATGAACCCTGTCGAGGTGGCCATTGCATCCGCCTTTGAGGGCAACGTCAACGCGGTTCTGGGATTCCTTCGAGTATGGTCTCTGCCCCTAGCCTGCACTGTGGCAGAGATTGCCTCATTGGGTGAATGGCTTCCCGCTCCCGAGGGTCCCAGTCCTTTACCCCTTGATACTCTGGACATGGATGATCTTGCACTATTGGGAGTGTCTCAGCCAGGGGCCGATGAACTGGAGGGGATCAAGGATACAACCCTTGTGCTGTATGCTAGGGAGCTGGCTGGCATTGAGCAGCTGTCACCCGAGCGCGACGGCTGGGAGATGGCTATCCAGGTTCTTGGTCGGATGGACTCGCCTGAGAAGTCTGAGGAGACCGTTGGTGAGCTTCTTCGAGATCTCCTCGCCACACTAGATGAGGACTCGAGCCAAACTGTCGACAAGATCTGGGCGATATTGAATGACCTGGGCATGATCAACTATGCCGAGGAAACAGCAGAGGTAAGAAAGACATGTCGTATCCTGGTTCTGATTCAAGCTAACATTGGGATAGACTTTTGCTGAGATTCTGTCTGAAGCCTCACACCGATACGGTGACGCCCTTTGGTATTATGCGCTCGCTCACCGACCTGACAAGGTTCGCGATGTGCTCAACCTGCTCATGTCCTACTCGCTCCTTCAATCCACGGTCTACCCTTCGGAGAAGGATCTTGACGGAGAGCTGAGGGACCTGCTGCGGAAGCGAACCGAGACCCTGGAACGACGCGCCAAGCAGGACTTGGAGGCTGCTCAACTTCTTGGCCGGATGCTGAGTGGCTATGCGACGCTGCGCAAGTTCTACGAAACCAGAGACGCGGAAGATCTTGAAGCTATTTCGCCCACGAGGGCTCTGAAGCTCAAGAAGCAAGCAGCGTCTGCACTGGTGGCCGTCATTTCCAGCTCCGGTGACAACATCCGCGGCGGACTTTATGACGAAACTCGAGACTCTGTAGTGAGCGAGGACTTTTTGCTGGCCTTGCTCGGCGAGGCTACTGTCTTTATCAACCAGTCGCCCGGAGTCATCACACTGAGTCAGATTGACATTCTGATGAAGGCGATCGAGGATATCCAGACTGTCGGCAGAAAAGTATATGAGACATGTGACGGCTTCTTCAAGCTGGTACTGAAATCTGCTCAGGGTCTGAAGGGATCGAGCCCGCAAGATCTGATGGCTCAATCAACATCCTCACTGAGCGGAAGCAGTTATATCATGACCGGTAGCTCCGTGCTGATGAATCATCTCCACAAGTCGATCTCAGCAGGAGGCAAGGTGCATAGAGGATGGGACTGGAGAAAGTCTTGGTTGGCGACGACCAAGGGAGACGATGTGCTTCGAAAGCTGCGATTGGGATTGGCCAAGGACCTGGCGGCGTTATGGTTGGAGGATGCTGATGGAGTCGCTGTGTATTAGGATGCATGTATTTGAGATGAAGGATTGAATGGTTGTTTTGATAGAGAAATGGACTTGGTCAGGGCGAGGATGCGGCGCCCATGATAATATAAAGCATTGAACGAATGGAAACAAGCAATATGCATAATGAGGCATTTCTATTGAATTCTTCTACTGTATTAATTCATCTGTTGTGCTCGTGCTGTGAATAGCTTCCTGCATTCATACATTCATCAATCCACACCTCCCCTCGGCCGGTGGTCGGCGCAGGTGGAGCCCCACATCCCCGGATCTAGCCCACAAACTCCAATCCGCTCCTGCCAATTTACAATTGATCCAAAAATTTCCCCCGAACTCGCCCCCACCAAAATCTACAAACGACTCCATCGCAGCAGCTGGGGACTCAGAAAAAGAGTCATCCTTTTTCCATCGTCGTCACTGTACACCCGCGCACCATGGCTTCAATGGAGGTGGCCAGCCGCTCAGGCGGCGCCATGACGGTAAGTTGCCTTGTTTGTCTTGTTTCTGTCGTTATTGCTGCAATTGAGTTGGTCTGTCAATTCAAGGGAGATTGTACCCGACAACGGAGAACTACCACCCAGACTGACTCTTTTGCTTTGCCTCGTATAATAGCAACTCTTGCGACGCGCCGGACCCAATGCCGTCCGATCGGCTGCTGCCATCGCCGCTACCAGAGACTCCCGGAGAAACTTCTCGTCGGTCAAGTCGCTCCCCCCCACCTACGAGAAGCTCTACACCAAGTACACCGAGGTCCGTCGCGTGCTCGGCAAGCAGCGTCTGACCCTCGCCGAGAAGATCCTCTACAGCCACCTCGACAACCCCGAGGACTCGCTGCTCACAAACACCGACAATGGACGCAGCATCCGCGGCAAGGCCAACCTGCGGCTCAAGCCTGACCGTGTCAACATGCAGGACGCCTCTGCCCAGATGGCTATCCTCCAGTTTATGTCTTGTAACCTGGCTAAGCCTGCCATTCCCGCCAGCATTCACTGTGACCACTTGATTGTGGGTTACAAGGGTGCTGAGGATGATTTGGAGGCCGGTATTCAGACCAACAAGGAGGTTTTCGACTTCCTTGAGTCTGCGGCGCGCAAGTATGGAATGGACTTTTGGCCTCCTGGTGCTGGTATCATTCACCAGACTGTCCTCGAGAACTATGCTCTTCCTGGACTGATGATGCTTGGTACCGACTCTCACAGCCCCAACGCTGGTGGTCTCAGCACTATCACTATTGGTGTTGGTGGTGCTGATGCTGTCGAGGCTCTGGTTGGTGCTCCCTGGGAGCTCAAGGCCCCCAAGATCCTGGGTGTTCAGCTTATCGGCAAGCTCAACAACTGGGCTTCCCCTAAGGACATTATCCTCCGTCTCGCCGGACACCTCACTGTCCGTGGAGGCACTGGTTCCATCATTGAGTACTTCGGAGAGGGTGTCAACACCCTCAGTGCGACTGGTATGGCTACTGTGTGTAACATGGGAGCAGAGGTTGGCGCCACGACATCCATCTTCCCCTACACCGAGGCCTCGGCTAGATATCTCGACTCGACCCGACGATCGAACGCGAACAAGAACATCGAGGCTCTCGAGAACTTTGCCAACAACAGCTCCGACCCCGATGCTAAGTGGCGATTCAAGGCTGACGAGGGTGCCGAGTACGACGACCTCATCACTATCGACTTGTCTACTCTGGAGCCTCACATTAACGGCCCCTTCACCCCCGATTTGGCCACCCCTCTCTCCAAGTTCAAGGAGGTTGTCAAGGACCAGCAATGGCCCGAGGTTCTGTCTGCCGGTCTCATCGGTAGCTGCACCAACAGCTCTTACGAGGACATGACCCGAGTCGAGAGCTTGCTTAAGGATGCTAAGAAGGCTGGTCTCAAGCCTGCTTCCGACTTTTATATCACCCCCGGCAGCGAGCAGATCCGAGCCACACTCGAGCGTGATGGTACTCTAGAGACTTTCCAGGAGGCTGGCGGTATCGTCCTCTCCAACGCTTGTGGTCCCTGCATTGGTCAGTGGCAGCGAAAGGACGGCGTGACCAAGGGCACCAGCAACGCTATCCTGACTTCTTACAACCGAAACTTCCGTGGCCGCAACGACGGCAACCCTGATACCATGAACTTCCTCGCCTCTCCTGAGATCGTCACCGCCATGGCCTTTGCTGGTTCGACCACATTCAACCCCGTTACCGACAGTATCAAGACCCCTGATGGCAAGGACTTCAAGTTCTCCCCTCCTCATGGTCTCGAGGGCCCCCAGACTCCCTTCGAGTCCGGTAACGCTTCACTAGGCGTCCTGTCTCAGGCCCCTGATGCCAACGCCCAGATTGCCATCTCCCCTACCTCGGAGCGTCTGGCCTTCCTCGACCCCTTCCCCCCATTCCCCTCGTCCGACATCTCTGGCCTCCGTGTTCTCGTCAAGGTCACCGGCAAGTGCACGACTGATACCATCTCTGCCGCTGGCCCCTGGCTCAAGTACAAGGGTCACCTGCCCAACATTAGCACCAACACCCTCAACACTGCTATCAACGCCGAGACTGGTGAGGTCAACGCCGCCTACGACCTCGACGGCTCCAAGCACACCATCCCCGAGCTCGGCCAGCTCTGGAAGGACCGCGGCCAGGAGTGGCTCGTCGTCGCTGAGCACAACTACGGCGAGGGTTCCGCTCGTGAGCACGCCGCCCTGCAGCCCCGATACCTCGGTGCCCGTGTCGTCCTCACCAAGTCGTTTGCCCGTATTCACGAGACCAACCTCAAGAAGCAGGGTGTCGTGCCCCTGACCTTTGAGAACGAGGCCGACTACGACAAGATCGCCGCCGGTGACGAGGTCGCCACCGTCGGCCTCTACGAGATGCTCCAGAACGAGGGTAAGGGTGAAGTCCAGCTCCGCGTCACCAAGTCCTCAGGTGAGGAGATCCTCATCCCTACCAAGCACGCCGTCACCAAGGACCAGGCCGGCTTCATCCTTGCCGGCAGCGCCCTCAACCTGCTGTCTAAGGGCGTGTAGACAAAGCCAGCCACAGTAGGCAGGCAAGTCGCCGCCGTGAAACAGGTGTTTGGCTCTTTTCGGCGCTTCTATAACTAACGAGTTTGGACATTTGGATGTTTGTAAGAAACCAACCAGTGGAAAAAGGGGCGTTTTGTTTGGGCGGGAGAAAAATGTCCGGAGTGATAGACTGTACATAGCAGCAATACCAGTTGTCCTGTTTGATTCCCAATCCAATCTTGATTCATCGTCTCGTGTCGTGTCGTGAGTCTGTATTTGTTTATGGATGTATGTAGGTGTATGTGTTCTATCGCTGGTAGAAGAGGCCTGATGTAGATGGCTCTCACCATGACCGGCAACCGCGTGCAACTCCATATTTCCCATCCCAGATGCTAAAAATGACAAACACCAAGAGAGCACCCAAAACTCCATCCCTCGCAGCAACACCTGCTTTGGGATTTCTTTTCGACACCCCGCCCGCCCATTCTTTTCGTAGCTTCGTGATGTTCCCCAGCGTGGCTCAGCCATGAACTTGTGGTTGAGCCTATCCCTCTCACAGATATTCCGATGTGCTTCTCATCTTCCCAGGGGCTGAAGGGCCCTGCCTGTTGCTTTCTTCAAAGGGGGAGTTCGCTAAAAGCCTCCATGAAGAAGCGTGTCGTCTCTTCAGTCGTCTTATTGACTTGGTGCTGGCGTTGCAGTGCTTTGTTCATGGTCTCTCGATGCCAAGCGCATGCCTTCAACCACGCAGGATTGTTGCGCACATCATCCGGCAGCTCTTCTTCAGGGACATCTCCAAAGTCGAGAATCCGCTTGTGTGTTCTTGGCTGTGGTGATCTGAACGGTGGATCTTCTCCTGCCAGCCGAGCCTGTTCGCATTCCTCATCCAACTTGGCCTCCCTTGCGTTTAGCCATCTTTGTCTCTCCAACACTTTACCGAACCATGCTTTTCGTCTAGGGCGGTGCTTGATCTCTTGGCACTTCTTCTTGTACCAATCTTCTGATCGATTGTGCATTCTATGAATGGCCGGGTTCACAGGCAGAAAGAGCCGGGGTTCTTCGCTTGAAGCCTTTGCCTTTCGAGTTTTGCGGGATGGGATGACAACACCAGGAGGCGGACGTAGATCTGACTGTCGATAGATACATGCATCGAAGGCAGCCGAGTCAAAAGCAGCTAGCATCTTCTTCCTACGAGCTTCATACTTCGCTCTAAAGGGTAGCATGACCGTGTCTGCCGGCTTGGGGTCTTCGTCGTCGTCAGAAGACTCACTTACATCAGCCATGTTGGCTTCGTCGTCATCTTCCATGTTCAGATCGATTGATTGGGCTGGCGGGGAACGGATCCTACTCGACGACGATTCATCATTTGCCTGTTGAGATGGGATTTTAGAATGAGCCAATGGCGACTCCGGAAGAGCAGCATCCGTAACCTTAACGCCCTCTTGTTGGATCGGCGAGTCCGGTTTTCTCTTCTTGCGGGGTGGAGGGCCAGACGGGCGATCCTCCTTTCTCGCTTCAGCATTGTGTTTCTGTGGAGAAGCAGGAATGACTTCCTGCTGTGTGGTCAGTTCTGACGAGGCCTTCAGCTCTTGAGGCAGATCAGGTATGCCGATATCCGGTAAATCTTCAGTTGTCACCGATACTCGAATGTGGGCAGAGACATGTACTCGCTCATTTGTCGGCGCCTCTGCCTCTGCCTCTGAGGAGTCTCGTATTAGGATGGGCTCCGGCTCCATGTTCGTAACGGGAGCTGGATTCTTCTTGGCTAGCTCGGGAACACATGGCTGCTTCACTGTATTGTCTTTCATACTCTGAATAGCTTCCGTTGGTAGCTTGTGAAGGTCCGAGGCACTAAAAGACATTCCATCGGATGGAGGATCCTCCACCGCCTTGATGGCATCTCCATTGGGCTCGGCATGAGGTGTATCTGATATCGGCGATGCGGTAGGTTTTGGCTTCGAGGCATGATTTTGAGCATCATCCATCTTGTTGTTTTCTGGAATGACGGGGCCAGCCTGACCGAGGGACTCGCTGCGAGGCCGGCCGGGATCTGGTTTAGGCGTGGGACTTGCCGTCCCATGTGTTTTCGCTTCTGTGCTAGGTTTCCCCTGAGAGGCCCCGCCAGGTTTTGCTGGAAGCTGACTCTTGACTGTTGACCGCCCAGGCCCAGATGATTTCAGAAGAAAACGCCCTCGACCCCTCTTGGCCGTGAAGCCCCGATCAACCAAGCCGGGTGTCTTGGCATGAGTGGTTGTCGTGAGAGGAACACCGGATGCAACTGAGCTGGACCTCCGCGGCTGGTGCTTACTGCAGAACTGTGAAGTGCTGAGCAATACTATGCTTCCACAGCCCGGGAATGAGCAGCTTCCGCCGATCTGTGAAGGTGCATCGTGGCCAGTCATGTCTACCGCTGTGATGGTTTAAACCGCGTAAAACTCCACCAAGCGTACGCTTTGGGGAGAACCGAATTGCATGTGGTTGGAGAGAGAAGGCCCGGGGCTGACCTGAGGTAGAGGAACACAATCCAGACGTCGTGAGGCATATGGTTCCGCTCGAGATTTGAGTGATGATGATTTTGGTTGTCGATGTTGGGCTGGTCAATACTAAAAATGAGGCCACCTATGATAGAATTTAGTAAGCAGATTGCAAACGCAGAGCTGAATGCGAGCGAGCACGATTGTGAAAACAGTCAAAGTCAGATCTTTTCAGTTATTATTGGCCATCAAGCTAGGCACCTCAGCGGTTCCGCCACGTCTTCCCTGATCCATTGCAGACCTGAGCCTGCTGTATGTCGCGGCCTTTGGTCGAGATCCGTGGCAGCGACGAGGAAGAGGACTCCATGTTGCGACAGGAGAGACTCTAATGTGACCGGCCCCGAATGCCCTCAAACAAATGTGATATGTGGGAGAGCTCAGTTGGGGCGCGTGTGCTTAAGGCGGAGTTGATGGAAGCAACAACGCCATTGAGAGGATCAGGGTGAGCGTGACGCGACCAGAAGGGTTCCGTTCAGTCAGACCTTTTACCATAGGCATCATTCGACAAAACAAAATACAAAAGAGAATAGTCGTGACGTACCAAGGCTTTCAGGGAAGAGAGAACAGATAGATGTGAGTATCGCGTGCTAGTGGCCGACTAGGGCCATTGTCGCACAGGTGTTGGCGGCTGGACGGGACGCGCTGGCAGAGCTGGCAGGCAGATTATTGCCTCAGGCTCGAGGCATCAAAACCAAAGCTGGGAAGGCAGTGTCCGAAGGTCGCACCTAGAAATGCTCATCAAGCCGCATGAACGCGTACTCGTGCGCTCTTCGCAGGAGGAACGCGGAGATGAAAGGAATAAATTCACTGCGAGGCTGCAAGAGCCCGCTTGTCGCTGTATGCCTGTTGGCTGTTGGCATTGCGGGAGGTCGGCGGGCTATTGGTCCGAGCGCCTGAAGATGAACTGGAAGAATGGCAAGAACAGAGGAGGCACGCCTTCCTTTCTGGTCCAAATTGCAGCCGGAATTTTGTTTTCCCCGCTATTGAAGCGCCTCTTAGCCGCTCTGGGTTTAGGCAATATCCCGGCTGTGTCTCATGCCCGTCGAGACGACGTCTTGCCGTGCTTGCATCGTCATTACAGGAACCAAAGAATAGGCGGCGTCTGTCTCAGCTGTCATCAAGATCTGCCTTTCGCTGATCTTTCCCCTCTTTTCTTTTCTCTCTGAGACAGCCAAGTAGGCTGCGTCTTCAATGGCTGTGTGGCTCAAGCTGAATACTGCATTCTCAACCACACATTTGTGCTACACATAAGATATGCACTTTCTTGACCTTTTGCAAGTTGAACAAAAATGCTATTCTCGCTTTCTTTGCTATACACATGCTTGCTTCGCCTCCCAAGGCAAATTCGCTTCTCCCGTACGCCCGCATTCAAATCTGGCTGGATCTCTCTCCATTGGATTCTTGCTCAGTATGGACTGTGGACAGCTGACTCTAGGTACTACACACCAACGACAACGGGCTTTCCGCCCAGCCTGACACAACCCCCATCCCAATGGAATTATGAGGCCTCAATAATGCTGCGCCATGTTGTTGTCGAGCCATAAACATCTAAGCGTGTCAGCTTTTGCGCGCTGCCACCTGTCTGGCAGCCTGCTTCTGCATGGCGTCCCCTACTGCCAATCAGGTTGAAAGAGGGCGAATAGAGGCATGGTAACAAACCCAGGCCGCCATGAGTCCTATTGCTACTCGAATCTATTAAAAACCAGGCTCTGGGAAATCAGTTCTTTTCTTTGCAAAATCCTCATCCTCACTTTTCCCACATCTTCATGGCCTATCTGCTTCACTCAGGGCTCTTTCTTGCTCCCTTTGGACCCCCATGTCATGACAATCATGAATCTCGCGACTCGCGCCGTATCCGCCACAAACTCTACGGCTTATAAACAATTCGACACTGGGAAACGCAACCGCCGCCTCAACAGCCGAGTTGGAGGATTTACCAATGGCCAGACAAAACACATCGGAAGTGTGAATGGACATGGTGCGATGGTCGGTGTAATGCCGTTGGAGGACACCACCTTGCATCAAACGCCCAAGTCACATTGTTGTGATGTGGCAGCGCCCGTTACATCTTCAGACAAGGGCCATTCACCACGGCGAGCTTCGAAACCCTTGACCGCCTTTGGCGCAAAAAGCCGAGAGGTCCTCGACAAGTCTTTTATCGACACCGAATTCTTACGACGCCAAGAGGAGATCGCGTATGAAAGCTTCATCAAGAGTGACTTCAACGAGGCTGAGCAGTGTCTGCACCAAGCCCTCCAACGCTCACATGGTGACCCTTGTGAATATGAGGACCTCTCGAAACTCAAACTCCAGTGGGCTCTTTACTGCTGTCTGCTAGGGGAATGGGACAAAGCGGCGACAATAGTGTCGGAGTTGTCGGATTCGAAATTTACGACCCTCACTTCAATCTATGACCTTCGGCAAGCAATCGCAATTGCTCTCTTGCATGAGGGTCGCTTGAAGGACGCCTATAGCACTTGCAAGTCTGTTTACGAAGCAAAGAAGAAGCTCCTTAGGCGAGACGACAATGATTACCTGGGATGTTTATCACTACTGGCAAATATTTGTGAGAAGAGGGGCAATATCACGGACGCACGAAGCTATCGTCAATCGATGCCCCAGGAATGGGCCCTCGCCAATTCGAAGGACACCATATCTCCCGTAGGCTACATCCTTGGCCGCCCTTTATTGCTTGAATCCATACTGGGCAGAAAGGTGCGCATTTGTTCGAGCCAGTGGAAAGCTGCTCAGCTCTGCAGCAAAAGCTCCAAGTCAGCCAAACCGACCGGATCTTACGGAAATAGCCCACCAACTACAGCATCAGGTTATCGACCGACCTTTGCTCCGGGCGGTCAGACTGGAGCCCAGAGAGCTGAACCAGAACAAGCTCGATGGCGTGTTGGTGAGACAGATATAGGAAAGGAGGTGACGATACAGAATGCCCAGCCAGACTTACGTTCAGGGGACAAGAAACAGTCGAGGAGCTTTGGGATCCCTTCCAAGTCTCCAGAGTTGTTTCCTAGTGCACGCTCGGGACCACTGCTGCGACCGCCATCGCCGAAAAAGCATACACGGAGAGCTTCTGAGGACTCTCGACAGACGCCACGATCACGGCAACTTGATGTCCCCCACGACTCGAATCGAATCTCTACATGGAGGCCAGAGCAAGAGATCGGACACGGCCTATCCCTTTCTGTTGGGAGTGCAAGTGAGCTTACCAAAACTCAACACCAAGATTCATCCCTACGGAGGGTTCGCAAATACAGGACTTTGAGGCCGACGAACTATGATACAAGAGATGAAACGATGAACCAGAACTACCCAAAACATGGTGCTGCAAAAAGCCCAGTTCAACTCGTTTCTAGCGGCTCACAACCCAACCTTCTGTCCATGGATCCACGGCGGATGCTCCAAGTACAGCAGCCTCAGGGAAGGGTTCCAGTGATAAAGGGTCGGCCAAACGAGCAGATAAAGCACCAAGCGGACTATGCTAAGAGAGCGGTCGACAACGATACCTTGTCCCAAGCGGTTGGTTCCCCGGTGGTTGAGGCGCCCCTGAGCACACGGTATCCCGCTCTTAGGGTGACTGCACCCAACATGGGGCTTTCATCCTTGGATCTCTCCCGGGTACCAAGCCCTGCACTTTCCTTTCAGGTTCGGAAAGTTTCCTCATCTGTTGATATGTCAAGCCTGAACAGGCCCAAGTTCATATGGAAAGTTCGGCAAAACATCAGCAACCTGGAAAAGTCGATCAGACCGTTTGGAGAGTCCAGTTCAGGGCGACTTCCTGCCCGGTCCAAAAACAATATCCATCCACATGCTCGTTATTTCGCGGTTTCGATCAAGTATGGGGAGTCGGATTCCATTGCCATGAATACAGGCCGGGAAAGTGTGGTTATCTGTGAGGTGCCGGTATGTACGCGCTCAATCCGAATATGCAGAGACGAGACTGATAAGTATTATCCAGACAGAGATCAACCAGCCACCTCATACAGCAGCAAAGGCGGCGATGATTGGCATGAAGAAGGGAATTCGGAGAGGTCCCTTTTTCGCTTTGAGAGAATCCCCTTTGATTGGCATCTCGGGCTATTTCTCTTTCATCCGCAAGCAATCCCCTCTAACGGACGTTTCTGACTATACGGTCGACCGTTCAGGCCCTCGAAACTGGCCCAGCACGGCAACAGTCGACCCGAGAACGGGCGAGTATCAGGTTCCTTACAACCCAGAAGTCCTTAGCTCCGGATTTGCGTTTGACATGTCTTGGATTGAGCAAGAGATCGCCCAGCTGGCAGACCCAGGACAGGCGAGTCATCAACATGGTCAAATCGCCACCAAAGAGCTGGAAAACATCGTCTGTTCACTCCCCGACTTCCTGGTTCGTACAGCATGGAGATTTTGGGCCAACCTGCTGGTGGAGAGCAGACTCATGCAGCACGCCAAGGTCATTCCACACTCAGTGGCCGTGGTTCAGTATTACCTGCATTGCGGCGCCCTGAAGCTTGAGGCGGGGACGCAGTCCTCGGGCGCGACTGTTGTTGTGCTGAACTGTGGAGAGATGTTGGTGGATTGTGTTCCCTATCTCTTGAAGGGCCGGCCGACGACGTATAGCCACGTCGATGTTTGCCCTTGCAAGACCTCTTACATGGCTGAGATGGCAGGGTACGCTCTAAACATTTCTTTTCCCCCTCTGCTCTCTCAGAAATGAGCAGAGCTTTATCGTTGACAACAAACTGACTGATGCTTACAGATTCAAACATGCTCAGGCCGAATTTGTCAAGATCGCGGCACAAAAGCTCATAGACTTCAACCAGAAGCTTCGTTCCAAGGTTAAATCTGCCGAGATTGAGAAGCGTCTCAAGATTTTATCAGAGTACTTTACCCGGGTAATACTACCAGGGTTCCAGAACAGCGGAAAATCGTGGGAGATTCCCTTTGACCTTCCTGGGAGGACAGGAGGAGTATCATCGAGGCTCACGTTCACCGATTCCGAGGTGCTGAGTTGCCTCAACCCCAGTGTCAGTATGGTTCGGAAAATGCTTGAACATACCGTGATTTTGGTTCAACCACAGTACGAGGTTACGGTAAGTTCTTGAACTTTTATTTCTTCAGTTCAACGGTGCCTAACTAAGCGGCATAGCATGTTCTCCTTGCAGGTCCTTACTCTGCCTCAAAACACTTGGTCAAAGAGCTCACGGAGTGTCTCAAATCGGTGCAGAGAAGGCCAGCGAAGTTGCTTAATCACGCGGACGCAAGCGATATTTGCGTCCTTGGAACGTTGACTCACGCAATTAGCTGCTGATGAGGAATGGGTGGCTCAAGCGCTGATTGAGGTGGATGGTAGAGAGCAGGAGGGGATATTGGCATCCATACAAAAGAGGGGGAAATGGTTTGAGAAAGACATAGCGAGACGATGACTAGATGGACATGAAAACAGATAAATAGTATACTATCTAGAAAGTAGTAATGGATCTCTACCTACCTAATCCGTATACATGAAAGAGATGCTCGAATTGTCTGAGTGTTGCCGTATCTTACGGGGGCTATCGTAACGGTGAGCCGGATGGGAATAACCAGTAGCCGAGCCCCTCCACTGGACATGGGTCCTTGCACCAACGTAAACTGATCGGGCGCTAGCGCGGGGAGCTGGCCTCTGTAAAGGTACCTGACGTACAGCGGCCAACAACCACGTTGCGCTTCGACAGGAAGGGATACATTACGTCCATTACATACAGGCAACCGTTTCTTTACCTCTTCTTTTTGTGATTTGGCCGCAGCACTTCTCAGCCTCTACTGAACAGTTCCTGGCATGAACTTTCTCAAGTCTGCGGTGGCCTCGGCCATTGCCCAGGGACCTCCCTTTCCGTACACGTTTGGCGACAAGGTCGATATCGACGAGTCGATATGGACTCTGTACAACGGCACCAAGCGTGTAAGTCATGTAGCTCTCGACTTTGTTTACCGGTTTGCTAATTGTGTCCTCAGGAGGACGGGTCAAACTGCAGCATCTTCTCCTTCGACATCACCAACAACCGATCCCGACTTCCCCTAGCCAAGAACGCCCTCAAGAAGCTACGAACCCTACGACACCCTGGAGTTATCAAAGTGCTGGACGCTGTCGAGGTATACACGGGATCTACGAATGCGTTGGGCATGTTGCGCTGACAGTGCCTTTCAGACCGAGACGTACATCTACATTGCGACCGAACGAGTGGTGCCCTTGCGATGGCATGTGAAAAGAAAGAGCTTGAGCCCGGAGACGATAAAATGGGGACTTCACAGCATTACGGTGCGCTTTCCGGTCAATACTAGCATCTTTGGAGGCTAACTGTGCTGCAGCGCACTGTCAAATTCATCAACGAAGACGCCTCCTCCATTCACGGTAGCCTCAAGGTCGGGTCGGTCTATACTTCGGAAAGCGGCGAGTGGAAGTTGGGTGGCTTTGATGTTTTGAGCAGCGTCAAGGACGACGAATCTATCATATACGTAAGGACCTTGTATCCTGCGACGAGGATCGAAGCTGACGAGTCCAACAGACATACGGCAGTGTGGTACCAGACTCTGGACGATATGCGCCCCCAGAACTTGCCAGGGGCGGCTGGGACGTCATCAAGAAGAATCCTCACACAGCAGTGGATTCATTCAATCTTGGCACATTGATCTTTGAGGTATTCAATGGCGACTATATCGGCGCCGACCAGGCCGGCCAGACCAAGGGCATCCCTCCGCCACTTCACTCTAGTTACAAGCGCCTCTGCAACGCAAACCCCAAGGCCCGAATTACCGTGGGAGCCTTCCTCGACCAGGGAAATAGAACTGGATCTTTCTTTGATAGTTCTCTCATCAAGTTGACGGATGGCATCGACAACCTGGACATCAAGACCCCTGACGAGCGAGAAGAGTTCTTAGCGTAAGTCATGGAAACCATGATCTATTGGAGCTTATTAACACATTGCGCAGTGGACTGGACGAGCTGAGTGATGATTTCCCTGAAGAGTTTTTCAAGCTCAAGGTGATGCCCGAGCTCATGAAGTCGGCCGAGTTTGGCGGAGGTGGTCAGCGAGCAGTCTCTGTGGTTTTGAAGATTGCAGCCAAGCTTTCCAAAGAGGACTTTGACACCAAGATTACGCCTTTCATCATTCGTCTCTTTGGGAACCCTGATCGAGCCATCAGAGTCTGCCTACTGGACAGCCTTCCCTTGATGATTGATCATCTATCACAGAAGGTTGTCAACGACAAGATCTTTCCACAATTGGTACGACGATTCCATCTGCGGATCAAGGAACTGAGCTGACATTTCCAAGATTACTGGCTTCACTGATGTGACACCTGTTGTGCGAGAGCAGACGCTCAAGTCTGTACTCGTCATCATCACCAAGCTCTCTGACCGCACCATCAATGGCGACTTGCTCAAGCAACTCGCGAGAACAGCAAACGACGAGCAACCAGGAATCCGAACGAACACCACCATCTGCTTGGGTAAGATTGCCAAGCATCTCGGAACCTCATCGCGGTCAAAGGTTCTCATTGCTGCCTTTACAAGATCTCTCAGGGATCCCTTTGTCCATGCCAGAAATGCTGCTCTGATGGCTTTGGGAGCTACATCTGAGTACTTTACTGAGGAGGACAGCGCGTGCAGGATTCTTCCTGTCGTGTCTCCTCTATTAATAGACAAGGAGAAGATTATCCGTGATGCGGCGGTTCGCACTATGGACGTCTATATCCAGAAGATCAAGAAGGCGGTGGTCTCTATGCCTGAAAGCGTTCTTCCTCCTCCACAGGCTGCCGATGCTTCAGCGCCCCGGATGAGCACACCCCAACCTCACGAAAATGCTGCTGGAGGCTGGGCAGGATGGGCCATCTCATCGTTTACCAACAAAATCTCAGCTGCGGCAGGAGAAATTCACGCGGAATCGGACTCGAGAGCAGCTTCTCCTAAGCCATCACCCTCACCTGGACCCGAATCCAAGAAATCGGTCACCACAACAGCGTCGACGTTGCATCGTCAAGCTGTCAAGTCACCCCCAGCGACTCTGTCACGAAACTCGTCTGCCACAGCCAGTGTGGTGGCCGACTCATTCTTCCATGCTGACGCGGGTGATGATGGCGGCGACTCCTGGGGGGACATGAATGATGACTTTGATAGCTTCGACACATCGGCTGAGCAGTCATCAAAGAAGACGGCGACAGCAACAGCATCCGCTGCCCCCTTTGATGATGGCGAACCTGACTTTGCAGGATGGTTGGCCGCTCAGTCCAACAAGAAGGGTGGCCACCATAAGCCTCTTCCCAAGGGCTTGTCCAAGACCACGACGGCCAAGAAGCCTCTAGCCAAGCCAGCCGCGAAGCCACTCGGAGCAAAGAAGATTGACATGAAGCCTAAAGCGACGGACGATGACGACGGCTGGGGTGACGGTTGGTAAAGTGCTTGAAGGAACTAGAGAATCGATTAATGCGTAGATTGCCAGCCTTGACCATATTGTTACTCATCTTTGGCGCTGGAGGAAAACTCAGGATACCATCCCAAGGTTTTGAATTGGCATGTTGATAGAAGGGATTTGTATAATCAGTATCGAATGCACATATAATAAATGAAAGAGAAAAATTCGAGAATTTAGACCAGGTCTTTTTGCTATAACTACTCACAACTGGCAACGTTTGAGGCATCGCTTTTGATGAAGTATAAGTTGCGTCCTGTTCACCGAAGCCTCACCTCGGTGAGTACATTACCCCGCTAGTCCCAATCCACTCCTCACCTTGATTTTTTCTTCAACCACCCAAAAAACAATCACCAAGCCCATCCCCAATCTCCCACCTTCACCAACCAACAAACACAACCAAACTTTCCGAAAAAATGGCCCAAGGCACGATCAAGAAGCTCGGCCGAGCAACACCAGCCAAGGTCGTCCACTCAAAGCGCCAAGCATCCAAGGTGGCCAAGCCGAAAAAGACAAAGGCGAGCGTCGACAAGGTTCACAAGAAGTTTACGAGCGGCATGACGGCGCGCACCGAGGCGCTCCTCGGGGAGAGGGCTGGGCATCTGGAGCTTATTGGGCAGGGGAAGAAGAAGAAGGGGGATAAGAAGACGACGCAAAAGGGAGGATCAAAGAAGTTTGGTTAGAAGGACGATTCTTTCGAATATCGACGGTTTTAATTTTATGCGACATGAGGAGAGATACTCGATCGATACCCCTTTAATACGCACCAACGGAATACACAGCGGCTCGTCATATACTACTTCAACCTACAATCCTCAGCAATTCTCAATATCAAACTCTTTACCCTCGGCCACATGCGTCAGGATAGAAGTCACCACCTTGAAATCCCTCTCAACATCCACCATCCAATTCGACACGGCAACTCTGACCGCCTTTTCGCCCCTCCAGCTCGTCCCGCTCACATACATCTGCCTCGTCCCGTTGATCTTTTCGACCAGCTCGCCATTGAGCTTTGGATCCTTGGCGCGGAACAACACAATCATGAATACCTCGTCTAAACCGGCTCCGTCATCAGGTAGCAGCTCGTAGTGCTCCGAGTCTCGCAAAAAGGCGGCGATCCGACGGGAGAGGGTTACCATGTTGGCTAGGAGACTCGCCATACCTGGACGGCCCTCGCTGAGGAGGACGGCGTAGGCGGGGAGTGCGCGGAAGCGACGTGAGTTTTCAAGGCCGATGTTTAGCGGAGATGGGATGGTCGATTGTCCTCCAGAGGAGAGGTATGCGGCGTTGGGGTTTGTAAAGACGGACTGGAGGATGTCTGGTGTTCTAGTGAGGAACATGCCGCAGTCATATGGCTGTCAAACACTTCGAGTCAGAGCTAGGTTCTGGGGTTTGAATATATGAGACACTCACGACATTGAGGAGCTTGTGTCCATCGACTGTGATGCTGTCTGCCAGTTCCAGACCTTCTACACGTTTGTGAAGAGTCTTGTAATCGTCCTCGCCGGGAAGCGCTCGAGCAAAGATGCCGAATGCTGTGACCGTCAGTACAAGACAGTCTACTCGCAAACTCATACTTACCGCCGTCAACATGAATCCAAGCCCCATACTTATCAGCCAGCTCCCTGACTCTCTTCATCTCTTCAACACCCGTCAACGCAAATCGACCCGTGTTGACTTCTCCTGCACTCAAAGCAATGACACTTGCCACGCCCCCCCTCTGAAGTTCCCTCTCCAGAGCGTCAATATCGAGTCTCCAAGGCTCGTCTCCGCTCAGTCTGAGCTCTTTGACGGATGCCCTTCCAAAGCCGACAACGCTGGCAGCTTTGGATAGAGAACTATGGCCTGCGCTTGTGAGGATCTGCAGTTCCTTTATACCAGCCGCCATACACGCAACCAGAAGTCCCAGCTCTCCCACGGTTTCCCCTTCGCCAAGCTTCTTCCCAACAACCGCCTCCCTACCGCATGCAAGTCCTAGGACGTTGCTCGCCGTCGCACCTGTTGTAAAAGTCCTCCCACGGAACCCAGGCAACCCCAGGAGGGCAGCCCACATCTCAAGCGCCGCATCCTCCACAGTGGTAGCTACCGTCTGTGTAGGGAGATGCACCTGGACATTCTGATCCACACGAGAGACGACATTGTCTGCCCACTCGGCGATGGGAAGCGTTCCGCCCGTGACGAAGCCATAGTACCGAGATGAGCTGGCCGGGCCGTTGCAAGCCGGGACGATGTCCTCCGTAATATGCCGGAGTACCTGCTCCTGCGGCACCCCTTGGAGGTACGTCTCCGAGTCCGGCCGGGGAAGCGAGGCCTCGGCTGCCTTGATGGCCGAAAGAGACGGCAGCGTCGGCGCCGGACCGGGCCCGGGCTCGGAGGCATGCCGGCGGGACAAACGGGCCCGCTGGGCGTCAAGGTCGAACAGGTCGCTCATTGTGATGAGGAATATCGAGATGATGTGCTTTTCTTTTTCAAGAGACAAAAGTTGAAGGAGTGAAATAACTCAAAAGACCGGTGAGTCAGCTCTAGGTAGAATTCTTGTAAGTCTTTATAACTCGGGCTTGGCCCCACTCAGTATGCCGCTCAAGGCCGCAATCTGCGGCATGTTTGCCGTGATAATGAGTTGGTGGTTTGAAGCATTTCTTGACATGATTACTCAACCGCATGACATCTCGTTGAGTCGAAACGGAAGTACATATAGCTCAAACAACCGCGGAATGAGCCTATCGCATGTGTCCTATAACAGACGTTCCTGGTTAACAAGTTTATTGTAAAAAGGCGCTCCAGCTCATGCTGCTTCAGTCGTGACTCGCGCAATGTGAAGAAAGATACCACCATGTCTTCCAACAACCTCTAGACGAAACCCGATCGATCCAAGAATCCGCCCATATATGCGTGCCTAATCCAACATATAATATGCGCCATGCCAGAAAAATAACAAACCAAAAAAAGAATCACAACTCGTACAGTCAAAAGTCTCCCTCCCGTCGAGTTCCCCCCAAGTCGATAATTCGTCGCTGGACCTCCTACAATTTGGCGCTCTCTCCGACGGCACCAATCTTGAGGTCCTTGCCGTACTTCTTCAAAACATCCTCGTTGTGGTACTTCCAGAAAGCCTTGGTGGCGTTCTTGCCAGACCAGCGCTTAAGGATCTTTGCGCCGCCAGGGTGCTCCTCCAGGAACTCTATGCGCGTGTTAGTCTGTGTTTCATGAGAGGGATGAGTTTGGCACTGATGATCGGGACCAGCACTCAAATGGTAGACATACTTGACACGTCGTAAACATCGTTCTCGACAATGAGCCAGAAGCCGTTGGCCTCATCCTTGTGCTTGCCCACCTCGGCGGTAGTATAAGTCTCGCCCATTGCGTCTAAGAGTAAAAAAGATGACAAGTTTCAAATGGCTATCACGCGACTGCAAGGCTGAAGTTTCAAGTGTTGTTGTTTCGACAAAGGCGGAAAAGTTGAAGGAGAAGAGGAAAGAAGGAGTTCTCTCCGAAGCCTGCGTCGCCCTGCCTTTTTAGTTAGCCTGGACTGATGAAAGCAAAGGTTGGCTCGGCAGGTGGGGAGGCACTTGCCTCGGTACGCGGTCACGGGCGGCCCCTTCCCCCCAAAGAAGTGGGCACATCGCACCTGGGGAAGGCGCCTTCTCGCGCTAAAAGGCCCCGACGTCATTCCTGGCGGGGGAGAGCTCACCTATCACGGTGAAGTGATTGCCAAACTTTCAGGCACCTCGGTCCGGGGGGGATCAGCCAGGGCAGGGGAAAGCTTGGAGAAGTGATGAAAGGCTGGGAGTTTTCTTGTAACTCTACTGGTTTAACATCTACAAAGTAAAAGCCACATCTTGTATACATAATATACACCCAAGAAGTTGCTCCTCTAGGGGCATAATGACGCCCTTCCTAAGCAAAACTCCATCTTCTGACCTCGATCCAATAATAATAGTCTTTCCTGTACTCTTCAGCCATATCCAAATCATATAATAATCGTAGTGACGCCTCGCCGCATCGCCTGTCGAAACCGGTCCGCAAACGCCGCCGTCCCTCGGCAATCACTCTCCTCCCGCTTCTCCAATGCCTTTGGCATCCACTCGCTAATCTTGGCGATCCGGGTTTCGTTCTGTCGTACAGAAACAAACCACGTCAGCTTCTGTCAAAGTGAAAAGACTGTCAAGGTGAAAGGAGAGGCAGACTTACCGAAGGATGCGTGCTAAGCATCTCTGGCACTTCTTGCCCGGGTTGACCACCCATTCGCGATAGTGAATCCATCCTCTGCCAGAAACCAACTGCCTCTCTAGGATCGTAGCACGCCTCAGCCATCATCATAAGACCAATATAATCAGCCTCACTCTCCTGTCTCCGACCCATTGGAAGGTAGAAAAGCAGGTCTTGCAAATAGTAACCACCGACTACGTTCCAGAGTCCAAACAGCGCCAACCCAGGGAGCGCTCCCGCAAGGAAGAACAAACTCCCTGCTGTCAGATTTCCTACCCACGCCGCCGACAGTCTCTCCGCAGCGTGCGATGCCGTGTTATGTGCGATCTCGTGCCCGAGGACTGCGGCGACGGCGTCTTCATTGCGGCAGACGTTGAGGATTCCGCTGTGCACAAACACCTTGCCTCCAGGTAGGACAAAGGCATTGGCCGTTCCTATCATCACAAGACATGTCAGCCGGATCATCTTGACAACACCACTGAGCCTCGGACCACGTACTGCTGTCGGCAATGACAAAAATCTCCCAGTTCAGGTCCGTCATTCCGCTCACGGGGATCAAGCGGCTCATAACCCTCTTGACCAGCCTCGTCCGCGGATCCCAGTCGGACAGAAAGTGTCCTCCCTGCGCCCTGACCTGCTCAATTGTCTCCCTAGCGGCTTTGGAGTACACGCGTGCCACCACCGTGTCGGACAGAAAGTTGAACCGCCGCCGCCCGGTGATGGGTACCGTCTGCGAGTTGAAGAGATAAAATCCAACAGCAGCCAGGACCGTAGCTATCACCATCAACCTTGAGTTACGGCTGCTGCCCGCCTGGGTAAACTTGCGGGCCACTGGGTTCGGCACCAATGGCCGCGCCTCTCGCAGGCGCTCGTACGGGTCCTTGTCATGTCGCTGCTGCTGCGAGAGTCGAGGAGGACATTTCGAGAATAGACGGTGTCGCAAGAGGCAGGGCGCAGCGGTTCGTGAGACGAGGACGGCGGAGCGACGGCTTAGCAGGAGTATCGGCCTCGACCGGGCGAGCAGACGATGAGGACAGGCGGCAGACATGGCCGAGCCACCACCAGCCTCGGGCGGTTCGGTTCGGCGAAAGGATGGTATCTACGTAAATAATGAGGCTCGAGTATCCTCCCTAGAATACAACACAAATTCAATGACCGAGCCCAAAGGGTTGGCGACAAAGACGAGGTGCGTGTCTGGTGGTGCAGGCAGCTTTTCAGCCGAGAGCAGATTCGAGCTGGTTGCGTCATGGGTCCAACCCACCGACGGTTTCGGCGGCCGCGGGGCTCGCTGACGGTTAGCGAGGGGGCCCCTGAAACTCGAGCAAGGCTACGCTGTAGAACAGGTACATGACAGACCGTTTCAGGGGCTTGGCTGGAGTGGCACATGGCGCCTCAAATCCCCTATTCTCCGATCACCGTTTATCGGAGCCACGACTAACACCACCTCAAGGAACATTGAAAGCATATACACAACATACAGTCAATACATATCTCGCAGCATCTTAGCTATCAAAACTACAGATCCAACAACGAGCGTATCCTCCCCCACATATTTATGCTCAGTGCTATCCTAGTCTCCACCATGGCATACCTCCTTATCACTGCTGACCAGTGCCAAGGCGGGACTAGCAATCAGATATCCATAGCTTCAACTCCAACTTCAAACCAAACCCATCCCGTTTTCTCCCTGGAGCGTTTCTTGTAACAGTTTGTCTCTGTGGGCTTTGCTCGGTGACTCTGACTCCATGTCAGACCTGTGAAACAAACCCCCAATACACCATCCTCACTCATCACCTTGCATCACGGTCTACTTTCGGCCTTTTCTTTTCACCTTTACTCAGCGACTTACAAAGACGTTACGTCTCCCGTCAGCTCGGTTCACGGTCTAAAGATAACGATTCAAGTCGCAGCTGTGCCACTTTCTTGCAGCCGATGCTTACCAACTCGCACAAGTACAAAAAAGTCACGGACTCGCTTTCTCTTATGTGACAAGAAGAGATCACCATCTTCCGCTTCAACAGTTTCTACTTCTTCAAAATCACAGCTCAGGCAAGATGGGAGAGTATATTCCTGAACAACCAGATTTGGGTGCTGTTAAGCCCTCCTTCACCGGCTCCCCTGAGCCCGAGGCTCCCGGGACCAACGCCCTCATCCGCACCCTCTCCCTGATTCCTCACATGGAGGGTGGATATTTCCAACAAACAGACGAAGATTCCATCACTATTCCTTCGCCGTATCCGTCCGAAGCTCTTTCTGCTCAGACGACAGCCCTTGCTGGTCCTCCTCGTGAAGGCTTCGACATCAACACTCGTCGCCTCTCCACCACGATCTACTACCTCCTCACCCCTTGTCGTCCTCAAGGGAACTTCCACCGAAACCGCAGCCGCGTCATCCACACTCTACACCGTGGCCGTGGTCGCTATGTCCTTATCCACCCCGATGGTCGCGTCGAGACCTTTATCGTTGGCCATGCTGTCGAGCAAGGGGAGCGCATCCAGTGGGTCGTCGAGGGCAACGTCTGGAAGGCAAGCTATCTGCTGCCCAGCAAGGCGACCAATGATGAAACACAACATGGAGAGGGCCTTCTCATTTCAGAGACTGTTGTCCCGGGTTTCGAGTACTGCGACCATGAGTTCCTTTCCAAGCAAGCCATGAAGAGGCTGCTGCCAGAAGATCAAGCTCGAGAGCTAGACTGGCTTGTCAGAGTCTGATGACACACTCGAGAACTCGACTGAAACCGAGTTGCCTGTCGATTCAGCTGAAGGTACCAGGATAACCGTCGCCGAGATCAAGAGCATGGCCTGATGGGCATGGCGTCGAGCCCCTTTCAGTCGGAAGTGCGTGAAACAACCTGTGCGGAACAAGAGAGGCTGGTTCTGAGGCTGTCCATCCACAAAATTGTACCAATAATTAATCTCAATGCTATCTTCTAGTCATGCAGGTCATGTCGACGTTATGGTGTACTTGTTTGTCGCTCAGGGGTATCATGGACACGAATCTCCAAAATCAACCATCGGTGGCTTGCTGAGCGCCTTATGCATCCTGTGTTTCTGCCTCGAGAGGCATGCCGGCCCTGTTTCGTAATGGCCATATCTCCTTCCATTCCCCTTTCATCAATCGATGCATGCATTACGTTCGCTGGGGTGGGCGAGTAAGTTCTATCCAAATTCGGCCGTTTCCTGTCTCATGAGAATGACATCTGCGGTATAGGTCCCTCGCCCGGGAATGGCTTCCGACCGATGACGATGTGAACTGGTATCCAGGCGTGTATTCGTGTGTCGATGAGTTCTCTGCGTACGTCCACAAGTGACACCTGCATCGGCTCGGTTAGTTGACTCCGAGAAAGGTTGGCGCATTTGAGCTAAACTCACCTCGATCTGCGCAGGAGTTCTCTGGTAGACACGGTTGAAAAGCGTGAATGAGAACCCGCTAAGACCCATCAAGAAATTCCTCTCCCACATGCGTCCTAGCTCTTTGAGGCCCTCGTCCTTGGGCCAGCCATTCATGGGCATCTTGAAGATACGCTCCTGCACATCAACAAACCCCGCCCGCTCATACGCTTCCCGAGCATTTTCAGCAACGTCAGCAGGCCGACCCATTGTAGCCGAGGCCTCTTTGATTTCCCGGAACCATGTGGCAAGGTGGCCATTCGCATCGAGGGTGTTGTCGTCGCATTTGACCGTGGCATCATACTCCTGAGATTCGAACCAGCCTCCAGGGGTTAATGATTGGAAAGCCTGGTCGGCTATCTGCTCCTTGAAGTTGGACCAGCAGCCAGAAGTGACTCGGGTATGGATGTAATCGAAGGGCTGAGAGTAATCCCAAGGCTCAGAACTAGAAATCCGGTTAAGCATTAGGAAGAGGCTGGAGTAAAGGAGACATACGAGTCTTCAACGTAAAAACTCACGTTTGGCGGTACGTTTCGAGGTTGAATAGGTGAGAGATCGGTAGCAACTACCTCAGTTTGTGGAAACAAATCCCCCATCTTGATAGCCCAGTCACCAGTACCTGTAGCGATATCCAGCATGCTTCTAGGCGGAGTCGTCCTTGACAAGGGAGCAAAGAACAGCCGCCCGCCAAAGAGCTTCACCAAGGCTTCATTTTGTAGGTCTAGGCGCTCTCGCTCTGGCTGATCGTTGGGGAAATTGTAAGCTAGAGTAGGATGGTGAGCGAGAGAACCGGTCAGGACAGAGGCTGAACTCACAACCAGCGCGGTAAGCATGGTATGTGCGACCAAATTCTTCTGGGAAGTTTTGTACACTGTCGGTCAGGGATTCAGAGTCTCTGAGGATGCTGATCAGCCTGGTTAGACAACGAAGCCAGGTTGGTGTCCGAGACTTACATATCCTGTGCGTCGGGCTACACGAACAAATGTCAGCACATCCACAACGACCAGTTCAGACAATTCAAGGGCAAGGATAAAACCCCCAAGGGCCATGGTAAATGAAAAAGCAAATACACACATCAGGCTCTATAAAGCTATTTTTGCCCGAGTTTGAGGCGGAGCAGTTGAAAGTGAATTGAAAATGGTTAAAGCTGGAGGGAGAGGAGGCAGGCATATTCTCTCGGTTGGATGATTGAGCTGGTCGTCTAGGCATCACCGCGACTGTAATAGAATAGACTCAGTTACACCAGCAAAAGAGATGACAGCAACAAGGCCAGCAGTGCCATCCAACGGTAGCACAGAGGAGCTCAAAACGGATGTGGTGGATACAAGTAGCTCAGACCAACGGTTTCGTGAATGAGTGAGAAGCCAGTGAAACTGTCCAAGGGAGACCGTTGGGGGCTACCAGTGGCGATCAACACTCAGGACCCGGCGCGGAAAAGGAGTGCCTTGGTTGAAAGATCGGAGGATCCAACGATCTACAAACACCGAGATCAGAAAAGTTGGTGAGGGTCAAATGCCAGGCGCAGTGAGCGGGGCCAGAGACATATGCCGAAGGTGGTGGCGAGGACGAGGCCAGAAAGGCCAGAGATGTGCGCCCAGCTATGGGGGTATTGGTGATGGTGTTGCGGAGCGAGCCTGGTCTGGTCTTGTTGATGAGGGGGGAATGGGGGTCAGAACAAGAGACAGGAAGAAGTGGTTTGAAGTACGGCAAAAGGGTTTAGTCGTTTTGGGACAACTTGGCTAATAAACCAGCCAGGAGCCAAAATGCCGGCGAGGTCCAGGAGTCAAGGACAAGGGGACAGGACCAGACCGAGGTGCGAGAAATTAATTTGGGAATAGAAGCTGGAGGTGGAAATGGAGAAGGACAAGAAGCTTGGATAGAATCCCCGCTCTCTGGGGCACCAGCTAAGGTAGGTAAGGCAAGGCAAGACAAGGTAAAGAGAGATGGAGGCACCAGAAGAAGGGAACCAAGAACCACACCAGAATGACCCAAAGACCTGGTGCGACCAGACTCGTCGAGCGAGTGGATGCGGCGTGGGCTAGGATGAGACCCAAAGGAACCCAAGGACCCAGCAGCTTGGGACGGGTATCTGGCTCTCGGCTCTCCAGCCAAAAGCCACGAGCCCTACCAATACCAGGTGTGGTGGGCGTTTCTAGGGTCGCCCGTATCTCCAGTCTTTTGGCGTCGACCGCCCCCGGTCTCGAGCACCGGAACAAGAGGCGACCCAGTCAGTCGGGTTGTGGTTGTGATACCGGGACCCCCTCGAGCAGCAATCCCATGCACACCACCACACCCAAAGGCAAAGCTCGGGACGGTCTGAGCACCAATCTCGGCCAAGCAGACGTGCAGAATGAGCTGTGAGGAGGCAGAGCCCGAGGCAAGTCAGTAAGGGCAAGGGATGCAATCCTCCCTCTCTATGTGGCTCTCCACCACACAGACGCCCACAGCTCCTTAGCCCCAGAAGCGCGGGCCCAAGCTTGGCAAACTCGCGTCAGCAGGGCACCAGTTCACGAGCGAGCGAGCAAAAGAAGGCGTCAACAACACCGTGTGCGCAGGTGCGTGCGTAATTTCAGACCAACAAATTTCCAAAGCAGCGAGTCAAGTTTAGGCGTCGGTGCGGTTTCGTCCGGTTCTCGCCTTGTACTTCTGTAAGAGCGAGTTGTGGATAAACTGAGTGTCTTTGTCTCGGCGACTTATCCGCCGCAGATGCCTGTCCTATCCCAGTCCTCGTTGTGAACGAGAAACCTCTTTCGTCAGGGTCGGCCGTCGCCGTTCGTTTGTCTCCCACAGAGTAAAGTTCAAAGGGGTCCCAACAACCTGGATAGGCTAACCCAGTGGACTGGGGCCAGGATCCGAGAGCCTGGGTCGGGAAAAGTGACCACGTTCCCGGCGGCTTGGAAATGAACAATGCCTTTTGGAGGGGGAAAGGGGAAAAAGAGGCCCGGGGGTGTGGGAACGTTGGAAGCGTTGGGTGTGTGCTCCGGGGAAATCTGTGAAAGGGTTCGCGGTGCTCCGCGAGAGCGTTTGTGCGACGGGGGACTGACTGACACGAGATGCTTGGTTACTATCCGATCGTCTGTGTGGCTGACGGGCGAGTTGACAACTGGCTGGCTAGTTACTATGTCAGTGTGTGTCGGCACTGTAGTGTATCCAGCTCGGCGGCTCAGCTCAGCTCAGCTCAGGGAGCCCAGCCCCCAAGAGATGGGCTAGCGACGGGGATCGCGGGAGATTGCGACGGAGCCTGTAAGGACGGGAGGGAACCGACAGGACGGATCCGGGAGACGTGAGGTGACGTAGCAGGTGTGTTTTCTTGGGTGTTGGGTGTTGGTTCTGACAACGATGATGTCCGGGGAAGAAAAGAAACGAGAGGAGACAAGAGACAAGAGAAGGAGTGGGATAGAAGCTACCTACCCATGAATGGATGGGATGGATTAGACGGGACCGGAACCGAGAGCGGGACGGGAATAGAAATGGAATAGGAATAGCAGGAACAAGTGGACGTGGACGTGGACTTGGAAGTGGAAGCATCAAGGAAGGCGCGAAATGAGCCGGCGAACTACCTGCCGAGTATGGCAAGACGTCCAGAAACAACCTATGCCGTGCCTTGGTAACCGAGCAATTTCAACGTCCAGGGGAAGAAAGAAACGAGTCTTGCACAAACAAAGAGGATCACACGGTCATGAACGGAGGTAATATCATGGTATTACCGATGGTCTTGTGAATTCGCCTCTGCAGAGATATCCGCAGTAATGGGCAGACCACCGTTGTCAAGCACCCCCGGCGAAATGGAGCAAAAGCTCCCGTGGCCGTTGAAACGGTATAACGAACGGCAGATTATTGAATCCCGATATCCCGACCTAAACGCGGAGTGGTAACAAAAAAGACGATGGCATCACTTGCGCGATAAGATGGAAACTGGAGTGCACTAAACTGCGAAACCGCCGCCCGAATCACAACACTAATGTTGCAATGAAAATGCGGTCTAAATAGAACGTGCCATGCTTCTCTTGACTCTGATAGCCAGCCTAGGGCACACGCTACTCGCCTAGCCTGCCGGCACGCGTGGACGGGATGATTAACAAACCCCTCAAAACGATGAGGGGCCTCGAGATGGGGAATGAGAATCGCAAGTCTTGCAGTCTTACGGTATACTGCATATGGGAATCGTCTAGAAAGCGCATCTTGGGGGGAAAAACGCCTTCGATTAGAGTCTGAGACAACATAAACTCAATCTCTCTCCCGTTACTCACCATCACCAAAGGCTGAATCTTGGTCGTGCCCCCCGTTTCCGACTTCTTGGAAACGGAACTGGCTTTGGCTTTTGCCGGCCCTCGCACCGTCCCGCACCTCTACAGTAGCCCGGGCCCCCAAAGATGCCCCGTTCTTCTAAACTCGACGTCTGCCCATGCTAGTCTATTCTCTGACTAAACCTTCCGACTCATGAGCCTGAGGCAGCTTTCCTTCTTTCTCTCTGTTCAATAAATAATGGCTCTACCAGTCTACAGGTTCCCAAGGAGATGGGGGCTTGCCGATCACTCGGCGTTCCAGCCTTTATGGGTCAGGGCCAGGGAAGCCCGGGAAGGGAAGGGAAGGGGTCCCGTAGTCGCGGGTAATGTTTGGCGGCCCAGCAGAAGAAACCCTGAGTCTCGTTGCTTTTTCCGTCTTTGGCTTCCCCCCTCACTTCTAGCAAACCTCACTCCATCTTTCTTAACCCCCTGCTTTAAGCCCCCCCCGGCGGTTATTGTAAATTACCCGCGATGACCTCGGGGATAACATATTGATAAGGTCATCATTCGTTCGCATCATGTTTTTCGCTTGCGGTCAACGTCCGCGACGCAGAAAGAAAGGGTCACGGCTGACGGGACGAACAACCTAGCTTCTCAAGAGGGGGTGGAGAGGTGTGTGACCCGCCAGCCTGGGTCTGGCTGCTGGGTACTTGACTCGAGGTGTTTGATCTTGAGTGTAAGGGTTCTTGTTGTTGCTTGTCCCTCTCTGGCTGGGATGGATGCAAATGAGAGCCTGCTTGCTTTGCTTTGCTTACTTCTCCCTCCCCCATGACGGTGATCCGGTAAAGGTTGTCACTTCCGATGATCTGGGTCTCCCATCATATCATTTTCCACACGAGTCGTGACAGCAAGTCCATACCCTGTTGCACGACCCGGACATGAGTAGGTGAAACGGTGCCTGTCTCCCTCTCTCTGCTTGGGCCACAGATGCCGGCCGGACGGCGGGCGAATAGACAGTCTCGGAGCCACGCCGAGGACGTATCATTTTTCTTTCCCATGTTCCTCTCTCGGGTTTCCCATCTCGAGTGAGATCTTCATGCCTCTCTAGCGTCCTTTGTTCAAGTTGTGCTTTGTGTGCTGTGCCGCCTTTGCTGCTCTCTCAAAGACAAACCAAAAGCACGCACGCACGCACATCCCTGAGCCTTTTTTAAACTTCCTAGCTTCCGTCTCATGGAAATGAGCCTCTGGATGGAATATTCCGTTCGTTTTTGCATGAATTCCAAGTCCGTCCGCGCCGCTGGGTCCCCCTCCACCTCCCTAACCAGAGACGATGCAACATAAAAAAGTATGCTCAGAAACCAAACCAAGTTGAACAACTCGCTCGACTTAATAATAAATTATTAGCCGCCTTGACCGACAAATGTTTCTTGTTAGTCCCCCCTGCCCTTATATCCGACCGAACCAGAGCGCTTCTCTGCCTGCTTGGGCATCATTCCCTGGTCAGTCGCCCACAGAAGCTGCTACAACGTAGTAGCAGTACGTACTATCTTTGTCCTCCACTTTCTCTCTCTCTTGTGCTTCACCCCTTGCACGCGACTCGGCTGGTCAAAAAGCCCGAGGAGCGAAAAGTCGTGATATCTCGGGAAGAGAGCAGAGCAAAGACCCATAACTATTCAGGGGAGTTTTAGAGTGGCCTGATGCTGGGCTGCGGTTCCAAGCCGAGGTAAGTTTGGATTAGCGAGCCCGTACGGATACCAACAGTGCTTTATCAAGATTCCGAGGTGTTGGTCAAGAGTGTGGCTCCTAGACCTGATCCTTGGGACTATCCCCTACTCCTTTTCCTCCCCAAGGGACGGGAAGTTTCTTTTGTCTGCGGCTACCCGTCCCGGGTTGTTGTTGTTGGTCCTCGTCTTCCATCTGTCCATCTGCATCCTGAGCAACTTCAAAGCAACCTCAAGATAACAACACACGCTATTGAGCTTGTTGATGCAGTCTAGTGGAATCAACCCGACATCATCTATGTACTGTACATTATGCATCATGTATCATATGCATCCATCTCGATATATTCTCTCACCGTCCACAACTCCTCGCCGCGTACACAGCCCTGCATCGTCAACCCCCTCCCAGCGTGGCTTGCGCTGCGCATTTCAAACCTCGGCGGCATGCATGTTTCACCCCGTATAGACAAAAGTCCAAGGAAAAAGGCCTTTGTTTCTTTTTCTCTTGGTTTTTTTTTCCAACCCATCCCTGGTGCAGTCTTGTGTAGCATTGCCACACATAAAATCTTGGCCACGGAGCACAAGTTCCTCTATTATCTGCCTAATTAGTATCCTCTTGAAGCCACCAACAGTGCTGCGTGACTATCCAGCCAGTCACAGCCATAGACTATGAGACAAGCAAGACGCCTTTGTCTCGATTGTTGGTCACCAACAGAAGCAGATCATCCATTGTCAACATTCTTCCTGCATTATCTGGTCTCCATCCAGCTTGCAATTTCTCCCTCCATGTCCCGCCTCTGCAAAGCTCTCGGAGCTACTTGTCTAAGATATATCCAAATTTTCTGGCTGAAAAAGTCTACATCATCTGCGTTTCCCTCCTCCTCCTACGGGGGTATAAGTCATCTCATCTAATTCACCGTCAAATAAGTAACAAAGAAAATTATATGCCCAAAGTGAGAACGTTTCACGTCATGATTCCGCCTCAGACTCTCTCCCCTAGTATTCGCTTCCCGGGTACGGGCTGGCCATCCCGCTTCCTGACAAGCTGTCGTTGCCCGACAAGTATGTCTGGTCGATCCGGAAGATCCAGTCCATCTTGTCCCGTTCGCTTCGAGCTGCAAATAGCCACGTGTTGTCCGTCCCGTATATGGCAAACACCGCCGACTGCATCCGTTCGGGAAGGCGTTGTAGGCCGGCGCCCCCGCTTGAGGCTCCCCCGCCCGTTCCCGTCCAGATGGTAGAGATCACACGGCCTGACGAGGTTCGCCGATGTCCTGGGGTAAAGTCGGATCCACCCGTCTGTCCGCTGTGATCTGATGCATTGTCGTAGTCATCGGATCCGTTGAGTAGGGCAAGCACTCCAGGCTGACTGTCAATGCGCGAGTTGCGCAAGCTTACCAGTCCAACCTCATCACCATCACCAGCCGAATGAAGGTGAAGGTATGGTCGTCGTAGCTCGACAAACCTCTTGACCCAACGCGTCGAGTCGCTGTTGGGGACCAACAGGTATCCACCCTTCAGCACCTTGGGGTTCTTGGGAATACGGATGACCGTCGCGACAAGTGTTGGTTGCAATGGCGCATTGGTCATGAGTCCATCTGTTGGTGGCGCTATGTTCGCTGGGCTGAGGAGATTTGTTAAGGGGTCGGGGAATGTCTTCCAGAGCTTCAAGCATTTCTGCAGCAGATCCGTCTGCTCCTCGTCATACTCTGGCTTGGGTTGTGGCTCTTCCACCTTGGTCGGCGTAACCTCCTCTGTTGTGGCTTCTGGCGTTGCGTCTTCTGCGTTTTCAGCCTTTTGCTCCTCGGCCTTGGATTCCCCGTCCTTGGGCTCCTCGTCATCGGGGTTTCCATCCTCGAGTTCTCCCTGCTCAGGCTCTCCCTCCTTGACTTCATCCTCTTCCTTGGGCTCTTGAGGCTCCTCAACCTCTTCCTCATCGAGAGGCGCCTCCTGCACCTCCTGTTCGTGCACCGAGGGAGCCGGAGAGGGTTCGGGCGTATCATGAAGGAGGTCGTCATCGCTGGGGATAATTGGCTTGAGCTCCGGAGAGGGCGAGGGCGACGGTTCCTTTTGGTCGGGCTTCGCGTTCGTTCCATCAAAACCAAGCTTGGCGAGGATAGTCTCAGTGGTATTAATATCCGCGGCGCGCCTCTTCTTTCTGCGAGCTGTGATAAAGTCGCTCACCAGGGACACGCCTCTGGGGGTCCAGCTTGTCAAGTTCTCCTCTCCCTTGACATAGTCGTGCTGGCTGTTCAGCCTCCACAAGTCACCCACCTTCTTGATCGGAGCAGGGCGCATGGTGAGAGTGAAGATGCCTGTCGAGGACCGCACAAATCGGATATTCTGCCACAGGGCCGAGAACATGGAAGTCTGACGCACAAAGGTTCTCGACAGAATTTGCACACAAACCTTTTGCGAAAACTTCATCGGCTCTGCCAGCTTCTCGGAGCTGATCTCCCATGAAATGGTCATCTGCACCCGATACTTGTCCTGAGTAACTCGATCAAGGAGCAATGAGTTGTGCACACTTGAATCCCACTGGGCATAGATGGTGAGGCTTTTGGTACCGTTGGCATTCTCCCGGAAGATTGGGCTCTGCGACAGTTTCAAAAGGATATCCGGCTCATTGGCGCCCATGTCAGGTGTCTTTCCGGCAGAGTCAACAAGCTGGATCCTTCCAACGCGGACAGAAGTAACGCCACCCCATGGGAGGGCATCGCCAGAGCTGTGGGAAATGTTGATTCCAATCCTTCTTTGCAGGCCTTGGTGTAGCTGGAAGGTTCCAGTATCCAACTCGTTCGTCTGAGTCACTTCCACTGCGCTATACTCACCCATCTCGTTGAGCTCCATGATCTGGACCCGGGACAATAGGTCGTGCTTCTCCTGGGTGAAGAACTGAGACTCATTGATACGGGTTGCTTTGGCTATGTCGTCTCTCACAGGCACCGCATCCCTCATATCATCCCAACTAAGGAGCTTGTCCAAGTGCATTGTGGATACCTTGGCGAAGATGGCAACCCTCAAAGTGACATCATGGGATGCGAAGAGAGGAATGCTCATGCTATGGACACTCTCGAAACGGATAGGGCCCTCGTCAAAGTCCTTGATCATCTGGGTTGTGGTGATACCATCTTCCTCGGAGATACCAGGGATGAAGAGTTGGGCATGCACCTCAGTGCCTTCTCGCTCTGCGAAGCCGATGAGCTCGTGCATGACAACGTTGAACTTGAGGGTGTTTGTAGGCGCACGTGCATGTGAAGGCTCAAGAGAAAGCTTGATGATACCAACAACATGAGATGTGTAAGGGGATAGGACATCAAGAACCGAATCCTGGACTCGACACTCGAAGACAGCCTTCAACGGCACATCAACCTCACCCACCAGAGTGTATGATGGCATGCAGGTCTCCACAAACGGGTTGTCGAGGCTGAGGTGTTGCGCGTATTCGGGCTGGTCTAGGTACTGGTGCATCTGTCGCATCTGCCGCACCCTATCATGCAGTTTCTCGAGACTCCATAGGTGGACCACGCTGTTCTTGAAATCAACCACTCGAACGCCAATGCATGGCTTGGGGGCCTGTTCCAGGGCAATGTCGTCGCCCTCGCCCGTCAGGCCGTTGAGGACCATATCATAAGATGAACAGAGTACATGGCCAATGTCGACCACGGCAAACTGGAAGACGACGCTCTCATCGAGTTCGTGACTCATGATCTGGGCTTCCTTGAGAATCGCGGCGTTCTGTAGTACCATCTCTGCCATCTTGACATAGTGCTGACCTTTCCAGACCTTGACAGAACGCTTCGCCAGCCCAATTTCCTCTTCAGAGAGAGTCGGGCTCTTCTTCGGCATCTTCAGGGGGTCCATCTTTTCAATCTTCTCCTCGAACTGCTTCCGTTGATGGTTGAGCTGCTTCTGCATATCCTCCTTCAGCTCCTTTAGCGCTGCCTCCATCTTTACCTTCTCTTGCTTGATCTCCTCAATCTCAACGTTCGCCGCTTCTGCATTCTTCAGCTGGTCTTGGTATTCCTCCTTTTGCTTTTCCAGTTGGTTCTGCAGCTCTTCTCGAACCTCTCTGAGCTTTTCATCTGGCTCGCCTTGCTTTGGTGTCGAGGGCATCGTCAACGCTGTGTCCAGAGATAGATTGTCCATGGTGCCGTTTGACAAATACTTGTCACGGATAGGATAAGAAGATTCCGAGTCGTCTCCATCATCACGACCGTTCACTCGCTCTGCCCTCGCCCTCTGGACATCTTCGAACAATGCATTCAGTTCCTCGTCGTTGAGACTAGTAAAGTTTTGATCACTTCCAAGAATCGCTCCGGCGGCTTCACGTCTGGCGAAAGACCAATCCGAGTCACGGCCGTTCCGTTGAGATAAAGCTGGTGAGTCTGGTCGAGAATCGCCAAATTCAGATACCCTACTAAAAGATCTTTCATGACCAGGACGAGGGCTTGGTGAAGGAGAACTTCGCTCCAGCGCCTGGAGCTGGCTTGCAGTGATAGAATGACGAAGTAAGCTCTGCGGTCTCTCCACTTCAGCTCGTTCTGCTCTCGCTTCCATGGGATGGTTGAATCGGAAGATGTGGAAGTCGCCAAAAATGATACGGTATCCAGAGTGAAGTTGTGTCGGTTCTGTGATACGCTTTCCGTTAACCATGACTGAAGCACCTTCGCTTGGAATAACTGTCACAGTTCCATCGGCTGCGTTGTCAAAGGTACAGTGGTCGTGAAGAATTCGGCTTCCATTAAGTCGGATGTTCGCTTGGTGATCCGCATTGGTGTCGACATTGCCCACTGTCGTTGTTCCGGGCTTGAGATTGTAGACGAGACACTCAGCGAGGAGGGGGTCATCTGACAAGTTGACAAGATGGGGCATCTTCTTGGGAGTGTGCAAACCCACAAAACCCTTCTCAATGCTAATTCCGAGTTCTTCCAGGGCAGCTTCACGCTCCTTGTGAATCTCCTCCGTTTTGAGAAGCTTCTCCTCCCATGTCTGATTCAGATCCGTAAGAAGCTTCTCACTCTGGCTCAGTTGCTCTGCGATCTCTGCCTTTGAAACTGTCTTCACAACACCGTCCGCGCCAGTAATGCTGACCATCTGCTTCTCGAGCGGCGTGCCTTCAGCATAGACCTTGTCGGCGGGTCCTGATGAAGCAGCTCCAGCAGGGGCCGGTCCATGACCAAGTTTGCTTCTCAAAAGCATCAATTCCTCCTTGAGTTCTCGTATCATGCGGGCATTGGCATCTTCGTTGACAACTGCGTGGTTCTTGATGCGCTTGGCAGAATCGGCGTAACGTAGTGTACTCAGGGTTTCGTCGTAGTTGATATCGGCAGGACTGATAGCTGCAATCATGGCCGTCATACTGTTTCCACCCAGCGAGTCCTTCAACAACCATGTCAAGACACTGTCTCGGTATGGGACTTGACCACCACCTTTCTTCTTCTTTCCTCCCGTAGACAAATCGGCCAGGGCAGCAATGACACGACCTAGTGTCGATAGCGATCGGTTGATTTCAGCACCTTCCTTCAGTCGAGCACCCGTTGCACCAGTCGACGTAGCTCGTTCGGAACCTGCCAGATCGACCAGACTGATCTTGGCCACCTTTTCCATCTCCATCTTGGTATCCAGATCGTACTTCTTCTGCGTCAACATGAGGGTAAAGACAGCGTGACTTCGACTGGATGTTTCGTTCATGTTGGTCGCGGCGACGGTTCGGGCTTTGTTGCCTTCGTCCATAAGGTGCTCGATTTCCTGGAACCCCTTTACGGCGAGCTTGGCGAGATCTTCGACGTAAGGACCGGTAGAAGGATGTTCTCGAACCTTGAGGTTGCCCTTTGTCGATGGGTTGAGCAGATCGCGGACTCGCTCGTTGTAAATTTCCAGATATGAGACCTCGACGGTGCATTTTGTCGTCCCGTCCGCTTGAATGGACTCTATTCTCTTAAACATGTCCTGACAAATCATGGGAATGATACCGATCTCCTTGCCGTATCCCATCATCGAGTACGACTTTCCGGAACCGGTCTGACCGTAGGCAAAAATACAGTTGTTGTAGCCTTGGAAGGCATTGTCAAGCAGGGGCTGTCCCAGATCATCGAAAAGATTAGACTGGCCGGCGTAATTGGGATCGCTCTTGTTAAAAGACCAGTATGATCGATCGAATGCAAAGGCCTTGGGCGCCAGATCTTTGGCGCTCTTGCCTTGGTGTCCATCGGGGGCGGATAGAACCGTCTGGTTCCCTTTCATTTCGATGACACATTTTGAACCTCGATCGATTTCTGCATGCCGTTCAGCACCGCCCTTTCAGTCCAAGCTCATGCAAAAGACTTACCTCTACCGTTGAAAGGTCGACACCTCACCACCACCTTGATGTTTCCTCCTCCGGCGGGCGCCATGGCTGCGGGATTGTCCAGGGGACCCAAGGCGGTCCCCCTCTAGACAAGGACTTGGTGGTTGAGGAATGCGCGGGGTTTGGTCGAAATCAAGCTTCGCCGGTGCGAGTGCACAAGATAAATATGTATCGTCTCTATAAGTGAAGCGGCATGCGACGTGTGGGCGTGGTATCCATCCAAGGCCGCAGCTCAGCGCATCGTCTCGTCGGTGTCGGTATAATTTCGCAGGTAGGGGATAGCAAATGGCGGGTCGACGTCTCCTTAGCGAGCTCGGGCTCTCGGGGGGTATCCAGAAATGACGACACTGTGTCGCCCTTTGGCGGCGGCGCACGTTGGGAAGAGGCTTGAGGCGGATTGCGATCTTTGCCGTCCAGGCAAGAGCTCGCCGTTGATGCAGGTCGCGATGTGCGAGATTGTCGTCGTCAGCCTGAGGAACAAGGCCAACGAGAGAGTGTGGGAGGCCGTTGTCTGGCGCAGGCGGTGGTTGCTTGTCAACAAATTTCGCAAGGAAGGTTCCAGGTTAGTTAGGACGCGGTCGCGCTGTACTACCCTGCACTTGATCCAGGTCCCGTGCTTCTGATTGGGCAGCTGACATGAGATGCTTGAAAGGGGACCTGGGGTGGTAGTGGCTTCGGGAGTTCACGTGCAGGAAGCTTGCGTGCGCTGCCGACTTAATCAGCCGGCTATTAGCCGTCAGCCATTGTCGTGATATCCAATGAGTGTCTCGTTGTTTTGGACGTAATTAACATCGAGACAGGTTATTATGGCAAGAGTTGGTCCAACATGGTATTCTTTGAGCCTCACCAGAAGCCTCTATCATCTTTACACACATGCAATTTGAAACTCTAACACGCTAGCTTCAGCTCCCGCTCTGACTTCCGCTCTGGCGCACGGTTGTGGATCACGGGTATGCACTCGTAGGACAGTCAAAGCGAGCTGTGACATGGACGGACCAATGTCTCGAAACCTTCGAGTTTTTGATTTCCGATGGTCCCTTGGCTTTATCCCATGAAGCAATCGCCCAGTAACAAAGGGAGAAAGCATATTGGTTGTCTCTACCACAAGAAACAGGCGCACATCATTCAAGTTGGGGAAGCCGTAACACGGACAAGACATCATTTCGGGGCATTCCGGAGGTACACTCGTATGAAAAAGAAACAACGACAGCGTCTCAGAAGCGAGTCGAAGGGGGACTCTTCGCAATGGCGATCGCTTGGTTGGTGGATGGTGACTGAAAACATTGCCACATGGACCAAGATTCCTTCGCCTCGCAAAGTAGGACTTTGGATTAAAAGATATGAGCATTCTGAACCAATGCGAAGGCCAAGGCCAATGCCCACCACTTCAACACTCAAGGTGAGAATTTGCGTTCCTTGCTTCAAGGGACAAGTCCTCTCTTCAAGTGGCGTCTGGAGGACCCCGTTGTGTGCAGTCATTAAGAATCGCAGACACCCGCACGTGGAGCCGCCGGGTAGACCACTGTCGCGAATCTGGCTACGGCGACATCACAGATGTGCGGACTCCGGTATAGGCAAACTTGCTACTTCACTTGCTCGCACGAAACGGGGCTCGCGGGACCCTTTCCGAGCTCAGGGATTCAGTGTCAGTCCAGGGCGCCAGGGCTCCATCACCAAAACTCTGTCCTCAACGAGTCGAACCAGTCTGATACAGTCGCTCGGTCAGGGCTGTTTCGTAGTCCTATTAGCGTGAGCATTATAGCACCAATGGATTACCAAACAATCCGGTTGCCTCGGGCTCGGGGCAGATTATAACACCACGATGACAAGGACAAGCTCCTCCCCGCTCCTCTCGAGGTGACACTCACGATCCGCCCTGGAGTTCTCTTCGGACTCTACGGATATATTCGGTTAGTGTGAGTAAATACGACAGAGTCCCAAAGTTTGACAGGTTCAGGGAAAGTAAGGGGATCCTTGGTCGCTTACAAGATCGACATTGCGCGCAGAACATCCAGGAGATGAGGCGATACGTGCCGTGACCCCAGATCGACGGATGCACATGGCGCTTGTCTAGCCCAATGAGCCTTGCGGCTGCGATACTAGCTCAAAGCTTGATCGCGTGCTAAGCGCAGATCCAGGTTCGTTCAAACGAACTCCCACCTCTGGCATCCGCGTGCTTGTCAGGCGGAGTCTCGACAATGCCGTCCTAGACCCCGGACAGGGCCTTGGCAGACGTCGTCTTCCCGTCGCCGTCTGCACCTCAATGCGCCCGTTTCGGGGTCAAGATAGATAGTCGACGGGCCAAGGCCTGTTCGGTTTCCGTTCAACGGGTATTATTGGCACCAAATGCACCTCATTTGGCATTTGCCACGCTGGCAGGGCGGACGCTGGACGCCGCACACCAATGACCGACCACACCGTTCGCCTCACTTTTCCACCGCGCACCATTTCTCACGGCGTATCGCAGGGGTTTTCCTTCCATAATATCTCCGGAGACATGGAACGGGCGAAACATGTGCGGCGAATTGTAGTGCAGATGCCCCTTGATTCGGTTCCAGAGTGGCTTTGCTCTGGAATATCAGCCTGCAGAGCGGTGAGCCCTGCCTGTCACACTGAGCGACGGCCAGGACCGACCGACATACCTTGGGTTCGCATACATTAGCATGAATGCACCCGTCACTCGTCAGGCACATCGTCGAACATAGCCTGCCCCCAGGCTATACCTGAATAAATACCCCGGCTCAGCCCGGCCTATATCCCCCTTCACATCCCCAGCTTGTCTCGATATTCCGTAAACTCATCGCTAGTCGAGTCGCTTGTACGACCACGTCGAACAATGGCATCCTCCATGAACAAGTACTGGATCCCACATCAGGATATTCATAGAAGGGTCATCACCCAAGAGCTCCAGTACTACCTGGGTCCCCAGGCCACGGTCCGCCCTTATACGTTGGAGGTATCTCGATCTCGAGGGAGCCCTGGTAATCTCTGTACTCATATATCGACCTAGGGAGAGGATGGTTTCCTCATCACCACCCCCGGCTCTTGCCTGACAGATGTTGGTGATCCATCTTTGACATGAGTGGTCTTGTCCTCGGTATGTTGACATCATAGCCAGGAACAAATCGATGATATCTGTCGAAAATCAAAGGATCTATGGGATCGACAGGCGGCTGCCAAAGTCCAGCAGAATCCAGAAAAGCCACTAAAGCGACCGTTGCACCAGCCCATCATCGTTTCCAGAGGGGCACCCAGAGACGCTCATCGACGCCACCGCGATCGTCGTTGACTTGGCGGGAACAGTACTCGAACATGACATGGCGGTGATGACCACGATGCTCTTCAGGTGGTGTAGAGACGGGTCTGGTATTCATTCAAAGGCGGCTATCTGCAAGTCGAACAACAGGTGTAAGCCGTTGCACCGGGTCAGGAAGGTCCGCGAGGCGACTCATAATGGGATGTGAAGCCTGCGGTGAGGCAGACAGAGCGCAAGCTTGCGCATCTATGGTGGAGAATTCCTTGTTAATCAGGTGTCCGAGAGAGGCATGGGGAGGTTGAGATACCCAATTGATGCGAGTTAAGCAGAGGTGTCATACTTGGCCGTCGTGCCATCCAAAGACACGGCGCCAGCTGGCACCATTCCAGCCCAACCGAGTCCAGATGAGTCTGAACACTGCCCAAATTGCACCTGCCCCAGGCATGTAGTGCAGGCAAGGTCGCCTAACCGCGCCAGAGCGCAGTAGTGGAGATGCCTAATCCGGGTTCCGGCCAGCTTCGTGTTCCAATTGGATTGCAACCTGCAAGTTCCTGTGGTAGACCGCACGGCTGGGGCACTCCGCACACTGACGGACATGACTCCGGCCGACTTCATTCACTACTGGGCTCTGGATGTTGCGAGGTAAAGGCCCAGCTTTCTGGTTGCAGCAAGAGATCGAAGCAATGATGAGCTGCGGCAGGCAGTCCATCGGCCATGATTCGACCGTCGACATCATGTGGCCCAGCACATACCTCAACCTCCAGACTTGGGGGGGTCAAGGATCCTTTCGTACTTTTGCAAATCCATCGAACCAGTTGACCAAAGTGCGATAGCTTGTACAGACACTTGCACTTCTTCTCGAGACGACAGCTTCACATCACGGAGTACCTTCTTCGCCGTGATATAGCCTATGATGTTGAGGTACTCGCCGACACGTGTCTGCTCGGAGTTGAGCGTCTCAAGCAGCAGGCTGACATCCACAAGGGCGGTGACATTGGTGTCTCTCGGGTAGAGGTGAGCCAGGGAGAGACAGGCTGACGACGTTGAGTACGAGATGACACTATCAGCGTTAGTGGGTGTAAAGCATCATGGAGAGTGTGGGAGCAGAGGCTAATGAATGAATAGGAAGGCCAGTGCAGTGAGGTCTGTTGGTCATACCATCCAAGAAACCTGACCTTGTCACCAATAGACAGAGCCGGTAGGTTTGACAGCAAATGAAGCTGAGACGGAACTGGGCCCCGCGACATTCCCGATGCCACTGGGATTCTCCTCCCAGCTTTTGAGGCCCGAAAGATGCCGTATCGCTGCAGCGTAAGAGAAATTCACGCAGGTTTTTGATATGCAGGAGGTAGCATCGAGGACACAAGAGGTTGAGGATGCAGTTCACGCATGTCCAGCTTCACGTGAAAGGAGGACGGAGGGGGCACTAGAAGCACAGTGCGTAGCTTGGACAAGCCACAGATTTTCAGTGGGGACATTGAGGAGATACTGTGTGGACTCGCACTCAGACTATGTACCCTAAACACCATCACATCGCATCATCGCTCACTCATAGCCTTTTAGCACAGTCATCAAACATCGTGAGAATGACAGCCGAAGCTCCTCCCAAGTACATCTACAAGATCGTTCCAGAGGCTCCCGCAGAGCCGTTTCCAAAGGAGCATCCCTTGTCGGAGCTTGATAGAAACGATGGCTTCATACATCTAAGTACATCTACACAGGTGAGTCTTTTTTGTCATGTTTGACTGCAACGTGCTGATTGTCAGGTGCCCAAAACCGCCAACTTGTTTTTCAGCAATGCATCTTCACTATGGATAATCAAGCTGGGCTTTGAACAATTCACTGGATCTATCAAGTGGGAGGACGGATTCCCTCACCTGTATGGCAACTTTGGAGCAGACAATGTTGACTCTGTTCAGAAGTTTGTCAGGGATGTAGACCAAACATGGGGACAAGTCATGGAGGGCTCAAGCTGGTTGGAGTAAAAACATTGGTTGCTTTTCCTCTACGGTATGCTATCTCGCATCAAGGCAACCATCTGCAGCCTGATGCATGTCTCAGTACACCGTGGTTCGTCTAAAGGCCAAGATCCTTCTCCACCATTCCCTTAGCAATAGGATGATAAAAGTCCTTGTTCTTCTCAAAAGTGTCCAATGCCAGCTGGCGGTCTACCTTGTTCAGCGCACGGAACAGAGGGCGCACAAACTTCATGCGACCGACCCGCCCAAGCAGATCGGCAGCGTCTTTGTAGATGGCCGCATCCTGAGCCTTGAGAGCGATAAGATAGTAAGCTGACAGGATCTCGACGTTCTTCGACGAGAGGAAGTCATAGGTCTTGCCCATAAGCTGGGCTCGCTCTGGGCTGAGGGCGCTAAACTGCTGCACCTCGGCCAAGAAGACGAGCTTCTGGTTTGCAGTCAAGTCCGCCACATCCTTGATGCTGGGCTCAAAACCCTAGTGAAACATTAGCAAACCAATCCCGGTCCACAAAGATTGGACGGACATACGGCATCTTTCCACTTGTTTGCCAATTCGTAGCACATGTTTGCTAGGCTGGTGTCGAAATCAGGCTTCGGAGGAAGTCCAGGTGTGTAAAACTTGTCATCCCAGTCGATCTCGGCGATCTTCTTGGAAATCTCCTCATCACCGAACCCGTTAAAGAAGTCAAGGAAGGTCTGCTTGAACTCGAACGAGTCGAGAGACTTTCCAGACCACTTGGTAAAGTAGTGTGGGATGAACTTGTCAAAGTTCTCACGACCAACCAGGCGCTCAAGGTAGTAGACGAAGTGAAAGCCCTTCTCGTACGCAACGGTGCTGTAGACATCCTCAGGGTCAAGGCCCTCATGCTTGATAATGAGCTTGGTGTATTCGTGATCCTTGCCGAAAAGCTCCACGGCATCCTCTATGCGACGGTAAGTCTTGTATCACAGTGTTGGTGTGATGTTACCTACCGAGGGCCTTCCAGCCGATGATGGCAGAGAAGTGGAACTCCGGTTCACCATGGATAGCAGCCTGAATGCGACGCTCAAGATACATGGTCCATCCCTCGTTCAACCAGCTGGGGCGAGTAAGTATCGTAAAACCGGTTCTGGAACATCCGGACTCACAAGTGTTCCCAGCTCGCGTTGGAAACTAGGTTGCCACTCCAGCTGTGGCTCAGCTCATGAGCAATGACATCCACATTCTGGCGGTCGCCGCTGATAATTGTAGGGGTGGCAAAGGTGTAGATGGGGTTCTCCATGCCTAGAGGTTCTGTAAGTATCATCTCGACTCTCACACTGAAAAGCAAGCATACCTCCGTAAGGGAAGCTTGGTGGCAAGACAAGAACGTTGTAAGCCCCCCACTTGTAGGGGAAAACAAGCTTCTCTGCGACCTCCATGAACTTTTCCATATCCCGCTCAAGTTCCCATTTGCATTCCGCCAGCTCATTGGGACCCGTGGCCACCACACTGCGAGGGCCAATGGATGCAGTAGCAATATCGCCAGAGGCTACGGCAAAGAGATAAGAGGGGATGGGAACCTTTTGCTCAAACTCGTAAAGCTTCTCCTTGCCAGGCGTCGCCTCGTGGTCTCCAACGGGAACACCGCTCGCAACAACCGGCAAGGACGAGGTGAGCTTGAAGGTAAAGGTAGACTTGACGTCAGGGGTGTCCTGGCAGGGGAAGATGGAACGAGCGTTGATAGCCTGGCATTGGGAGAACATGTACGGGTGCTTCTTGTTCGAGGTTTGAGCGGGAGTGAGCCACTGCAGAGCAGTGCACTTGCTAGTCGTCTGAAGGTCAATGGCAAGGTCAATGACCTCGCCCTTGGCTGCACCTTCAGGCACTGAGATATGAAGAGGGGCACCGAGGGGCGCCGAGTAGTCCTTCAACTCCCACTTGGACTCGGCCGAGTTGATACGAACAGTCGAGATATCAACAAACCTAGAGTCGAGGATAATCTCCTTGCTCTCCTTGTCGGTTTGAGATTCCAGCTGAAGAGTGACAGATCCCTTGAGGCACTTATCCTCAAAGTCAATCTTGAAGTTGGCCGTGGTATGGCGCGTCCGCCAAGCGCCATAGTTGGAAAGGGTGCTAGGATCTCGGGTCGCCATGTTGACAGTTGCAAATGTTCGTCTGAGGTTGTGAGAGATTGTTACTTGCGAACTTCGCAGAAAGGCGGGCTTCTTGAGGAATGAGAGCCACGACATGAGGCTCTCTTGATCCAATGGCACGGCGGTATTTGGCGGCTCACGTCATGAGTGCGGGTTTGTCGCGGATCTCGGCAGCCATTGAGATGCCTCTTTTGGTGAGTCACGTGCCATATTTTGCACCACCTGCCTAAACCAACTTACTTACCTTCCTGAAGATGCATCATCAACCACAAATCGTGGCCTCTTAAGGGTATTTTTGTTTACTTCCATCCATATGGCGATGCCATTTTTGGAAGGCCATTCATGTTGAACCAATACTCATATGACTTTAACCCTATTGGTTTGTCCTCGCCGCCAGGGCTTCTAGAACCACGTGGGAAGATGTTTCTCCGCCTCGACCAAGTTCACGGCCAAATATAGACGGCCTCATTCGCAACCAAGGAGATCAAAGGCTAAGCTAGACAGGACGGACTTGGCGACCAACGACGATTTTTGTTTCTCCGGAGCTGTGCCACCACTCATTAATGAGTCTAGTCGCCTATCCAGATCGCAATCTCGCATCTTCCCCATACCTTGTTCCTATTGTTTTCCCGTTTATTTCCACGACGGACACATTATCGCCATATGCTATCTTTTGCTTACTTTGCCATGATTCTCACCGAAGATCACGGTCAAATATCCCTGGTCAAGTAACCACCGAAGGTTATCCCCGTCCCCCGGGACCGCACTATCTTTGGACTTCGTCAAATGTCTTGGCACAACTGAGCAGGGAGCGGAAGCAGGCCCTCAATTCGTATCTTGACCCAACGGCAAACCCAACATCCGATGAGGATACCCACGGATGACGCTCGAAACGATTAAACATAGGAGAACCAGATTACCGGTGCTTATTACCTACCGTCAGGTGTAATGTTTCTCCAGCTAAAGAGCTTGCAGATGACTTCTTCCGTCTTGCGCGCGCAGGAAACTCGTTTAACTCCACTATGCTTACCTATATCTCCGGAATGGAACTGGTGATATGTTCGGGTTTTCTGTTCGCGCAGGATCCTTAGGACTTGTGGAGATTGCCCGAGTACAGCCAACAGGACCAAGACCTACGAGTCGAGTCAACCCCGAGATGAAGGGGTTCCCTCTGTCCTCAACGTTGAAAGACACCGAGATCTTGATGGAACGCCGTTTCAACCCCGTAAGTTTTTCAGAGCTCTGCCTCTCCGTAGCTTCGGAATCCCGACCAGCTCCCTGGCTGTGTGATACGGACATGTCTCCCGTTTAGACCTCACGATTGCGAAGAAGCCATACTGTCGATGTTGACCACGGGCAGGCTTCCCTAGGCCTGGCTTCTTTACACAACTGCGGGACAGGGCATGGTGAGGCAACAATATCACCCCACGAAACCACCCCAGCGCAAGCGAGCTTGGGCCGGGCCTACGGTGGCGACGGTGCGAGTTGGTAGTGGGGATTCCCGGCCGTTGGTGCTAACGCAGGGGCCGCAAGGCGAAGAAGGCCTCGACTCCTACCAGGAACCCCCTGCCCATAAGATGCGAGTGATATAAGGAAAATCCCACGAGATATTTCAGCCCTTGCCTATATTCCGACCGGAACACAACCGGCTTGACGAGAGACAATCCTGGCAAGAGTCCGAGTCTGGGCTGCCAAGCCATACTCCCGGGGATGGGCAAGTCATCCATCGATCAACGTTGAGCCTAACAAATGTGCGACGATAACAGATTCATGTCCAAGACTGCTCTCACAACAGTCGAGTCATTGTATCTGGATCTGCGTCCTGCATACTCGGGTTTGCCGTCCGTCGACGGAGATGCCGATCGTACTCCTTTTGAGATGCATTGCTAGGTTCCCTTTGACCGTCGCTCTACCATCGTCAACTGCTGGTCCATCTTTTAAACTCTATGCCTACCTTAACACCCGGATTAACTGCTAAATTGGTTGAAACCTCTAAGCCAAGCATGGCCGCTGTCCATTCGAAGCCGAGGTATCAGATGCGTGCATCCAGTTAATTAGTGGCAAGCTAGGCCCTAACTCGTCAACGGATTGGTGTGTTTGTTGGTCTCGTTCTTGTAGGGCTGTTACATAGGGGTGTAGACTCTAGGAGCTATCCGGTTGTAGTCTTGGACAGCACGTGTTCTCGTCTGAACTCCTCTAGCTCGCAGTAGGTCAAGATGGTGTGCCCCAATGCCATGCATTATTGTTGCTGCCGAAACACTCAGCA